ATAGAAAGACGAGGTATGTATGCAGGCCAGGTGGCTTGGAATAGGTTCTTTTTATTTGATGTGGACTGTTTTGGAGCAGATGCCCAATGGTCCTTTCCCAGTGTTCAGCAGATGAGCTGCTCCTGCAGAGAGCTCAGCAGGAGGGAGGTACCCTCTCTTTATAATGACTTACTAATGTCCTGTGAATTCGTGTCAGGGTTCTGCAGCCCAGCAACATCGAAAGCTTTTTATGGAAGGAAAATGTCTCACAATTGCTTTGTGAAGAAACCCCTTGGTTTAATGGCACAGATAAGGAAGCTTTGAGAAGGCAACATGATTTATGAGTATGCTTTTATTTCCTCCTGATTGTGTCCCTTTCAAGCTCAGCTTCATGGTTGTCTCTCAAGGAGGAAACACAGAGCTGGGTGATCCATTCTTCTCTGGGTATCACAATTGGTCTGTGTTCTTCAAAGCCAGAACTTTCAGGCTGGGATGCAGTGAATGCAAACACTGGGTTTGGGAATGAAATTCAACCAATGTCTGAATTTGTGCCTAAGACCAATTTCTGTTGGCCCAAGTCACAGAGATAGTGATCAGTGTCTTTTGAAAGTGTGCCCAGCAGCGCACAGTATTAACGTGCTGTCAGGAAGGCACTCCAGTGTGGAGATGAGTAGGGGGAGAGATATCAAGCAGAATGAGAAACACAGCCTCTGGGTCCAGTACAGGAGGACACGGCAAATTTCAGCTATACACATCCAAGGGTTTGGGAGAGGCTGCCAGGAGGATTAGTGAGGCTTTAGCAGAGGAAGCATCTTTCCAGGCAGTCAGAGCCCCAGAGGTGAAGTCCTCAGCACAGTCCCTAAAGGAAAGAGAAAGAAATAGCTGTGGACATTGTCATTGCCTACACTTACAGTGACTCTGCAGTAACCAAGAGAATTACAGTGAAGCAATTGTGTTGTGAGGAGAAAAAGGGAGTTGAGAGCATGTTTTCTGATCGTTTTCTGATAATTTCCTGAGACAGCTAAAATCATTAATAATGTTATAATGACTTAACTTCCTACTTCCTTAATCCAGGATGGAGCACTGGTGCTTCTGTTTGTACCTAAGGTTATCCTGAGTGTGTTATGCATTTTAGTAGTAAGCAAAAATGTGAGTTTCGGTATTTTATTCTGCCTATGTGCTCCTGAACCAGAATAAAGGCAGAAATAGACTGCAGTACGTGCAAACCTCAGGCTCGAGGGATTTCCGTGGACTTCCCAATAGGCTTAAAAATGTTTTTCAGAGATCATCGAACTCTGAAGAAAGAGCCTCTGTTCTTATCTCATGCAAGACATGGACCGTGTTTTGTAATTACACTGAGTCTAACGTGAAATCAGTCATTTAGGAGAAAGTTACATAAAAGGTATGAAACAAACGCCCCACGTTGCAGAAATTGGTGTTGGAATTTTGGGTTAAGTGTCTTTATCATTGCCCAGACTGACTTTAAACATTTGTTTGGTGTGACTTGCAGGTAAGTTTTCAAGTCCTGTTAAGCTGAAGAACATGATCCACTCTCTGTGGTGACAGAGACTTAGAACCCTACTCAGGGTTTTTACAGAGTGACTAAATCACCCTCCAGAACTTCAGCTTTCTCTGTTCAGCTTCACGGGGTTTGGAGCAGTTTCTATGGACACGCGTTGTGATGATATATCTAGCACATCCCTGTGAGAAATAATGTGACAGCTGGCTGTGTGTTCCTTCACACCGTGGTTAGGGACTGTTTCCACTGACATCAACCACTGCCCTGTTACTTAAACTGGAATTTCTTCCTTAGACTGTGCTTTTACTGCATGGGAATACGTTTGAAATTCTGTAGTTCACTGCTGTTTCTCAAGCAAAACATCTCTGTGCATGTGGCAATCTGCAGGTCATCTTTACATTCTGCTGCCACAAGCTGAATGCTGTGAATCGCAGGACTACAGATCAGTGCTCTGTACATTGTCCCTATCCGCACACCAGCTTTTCCTTATGCTCTGGACAGTGACATCTTCAATAGGTTATGTTAAATGTGCTGACATTCTGTCCAGGAGCGTGGGGCACACAGCCACATGCAGGATGCTGGGTTTATGCCCAGTCAAGTGCCAAGGTTAGTCTGCTGGTAACAAGCCTTTGCTGCTGTGGCTGAGGTTGAGGAGCCCAGGGCTGAGTCAGAACATTGCAGAAGTCGCTTCTGCCTGAGAGAACGTGCATCCAGGCACAGAGAATGCGGTTATTGGGTGTCTCATTGCTCCATCCCTCCTTCACGTTGTCATCCATGTCTGTAAAATGCAATGGGAATTCTGAAGAGGGTGCTTGAAGAGGGGATTCTGTTATTACTGCATTTCTGGGCTCGGCCTGGCTTGCAGCAAGCAGACAGGAAGGGACGAGTTTACTGGCACAGCACTCTGAACCTGACCTTAGCTTTCGTTTTCACCCACAGATGTTCAGTTCCTGAAATTTTCCACTCTGCCCAGTCGTCACTTGACATGCGATCTTACACTGCTGAGCTCCGGAGGTGGCAAACGAAACACTGCTTTCAGCCCTAGGCTGCTGCTTTTCTTATCTTAAATCTGCAGGAGCTAAGAAGGAGTCCAGACAGTAGCTTTGCAATCCCACTTCTTAAGTGCCTAGACCTGAATCTTTAGTTTTGCTTTTGACAGAAAGTTGTTATCCCCACTTTTGATAAAGAACATTTCAAAATGAAGGAGCCAGTGAAGAAGATGCTGCAGTTAATGAAATACATGACAGTCCTTAGAAGTACAGTGAGCAGTACTATTTCTGGTACATTTGGTATTTAATGTAGAAATTTGGGAACTAGAAATACGTTCTTTTGCAGATAACATTTTTGGATGAGCGGTGCAAGGTCACCAGCAAACTGAGAGGTGTTGATACTGCCCCAGGTCTAGCACCACCCTGACACAAACCCTCACCATTGTCATCATTTATGCATTTATTTACCTTGTATTTGAAACAGTGCAGAGAGGTTTCCTGTGGCTCAGTGCCCCATTGGACCAGGCACTGGATACAGCACAGAGAGACAAAACTTGTCTTAAAATAACTTTTGAAGGATGTAGTAGATGCTGAAGTGTTGCTGGGAAATGATGCCTGTCCTGCAGTTAAGTGATAGCAAGCTGGAAAATGTGACTGAAGTCTGAGAAAAGCAGCACTGCAGCCCAGAAAGGGATAGAAAGTGAACGAATGTTCCTGATGGACCAAATCAGTGAAGTCATTTGTACCACATAGTGGCTACGTGAAAGAAGTAGCGAGCACTTTACTGAGAAGCATGAGTTCATTTCTGTGCTGTAAATAGTCTTTGTGACCTGGCTCCATTTTGACTGGTGCTCTTACTCTTTGGTGTCTCATCCCAGGTTACTGGGCAGCTCCTGCCCCTCCTACTGAGTTGGAATTGTTTTCTGGTAGCTCAAAAATATCTTCCTTCCAGCTGACCTTGCTGATGGGCAGGGTGCTGGAGCGAGTGCTCTGTGTGGTCCTTCTCAATCCTTTTATAATGATTCTGTGTTACTGGTACTTTAAGGACCAAATTTCCTGTTCAGCCAGGGAAGTTAATCAAATGGGCTAAAGCAGGAAGCAGAGTAGGTTTCCACAGGAAAAGGAAATGCTCAAGGAGCAGAGACATCAGTTTGCAAATGCAGAGTGCTTCATCCCTATCACCCGAGGACCATGGGGCGTCTTCACCAATCTTAGAAGCTGCCAAGTGCTTTTAGGTGCCTGCAAGGTTCTGTTTTGAATTTGTGATGACATACATGATGTCTCTGAAAGATCATCTTGGAGGTTCCTCACATAGAAAATAGTTGGATTGGATAGGAAAAGGGAGCTAGAAAAAAATCACTTGTCATTTATGAGATGTGGGACAATTGAGCATCCTCTCTTTAGGGTTCCATCAAGTCAGGAAAATCAGCCCTTGTTATCATCAGCTTTGCCTCAGTGTAATAGTTCTTTGAAGGCTCAAGGTGTCCTGATCTTAGGGAGCAACCCTACAAACAGTTGTTTTTTAAATGTTTTTAAGGATAGAACTTCTTGAGCTGATGCAGAATATTGCAGTCAGACAAAGAATATGACTTGCTTATCATTGAGGCTACAGACCATCACATTCTCAGAAGCAAAACACAATTTAAGTCAAAATGACAGCGTGGTCAGAATGCTGTTGAATAGGTCAGACATTCTGCTCCAAAAGGGCACCTCTTTCATCAAAGTTAATGCAAGAAAAGCAGCTAGTTCTTGCATTTTGCTATGGCAGAGGCAGAAGCGGCTGTGCAAAAATAGGAAATAGGTGTGGGATTGGGGTTCTGTGGGAAGAACTTTCCAAGCAGTGTGGTGTATTTGTAGAAGGAGTGGACAGTCGGTGTTTAGGTAATCTCTGGCTCCACCTGAAGAATTAATTGTGCTCTCTTGGTGGTGTTATACAGAGGGAGTTTTCCTATTGATTTTGGTGAGTAAAAAGCAGGTCCTGCTTGAAAAACTGGAGTGATGAAGCTGTTCTCTGAATGCCTGTACCTCAGCCAATCCTTTGAGCAATTCCTATGTGGAAAGAAGATGTTTCTCCTCTGGTCATTCCAAATGTGATTTTTCATATGCTGTCCCTACAGAGCCTTTGCTTGATTTCAGCAGTCTCCAAGCACAGGGAAATAAAGAGGCTAAATAATAAAAGCTTAGAAACCATTGGATATAATAATATAATATAATATAATATAATATAACATAATTCACTTAAATTTCTAAGATACATTATTTTTTAAAGTACTAGATGTTAAGATTCCTCCTGTTCTGTAGAAATGAGAGTTCAGATCTAGTAAGAAAGGGAAAGATGCAAATAGAATCTTTATAACCTGACAAAACAGCAAATACAAAGAAGAGTGTAACTTTGTTCTTTGAACTCTGAATTTTGCTTTCAGCTCAAGCACTTTCAATTTGACCCTTGAGATACATGGGGTTGTACCCACAATCAAGCAATTACAACTGCCTGTATGATTTGGGAAGAGCTGTCATGGGTCAGAAGCAAGGTAAAAGTTTGTAGCATGGCATTGGGTCACGCACAGCTCACACATTATTCCTGCCCACTGATTAGATGTCTGGAGTATTTTAAACAAGGGATGTCAAGTGATAATTCCAGTGCAAGGAAGGGCATCATGTGAAGATAAAACCGATCGGAGTGAGAACGTTCATGAGCATGGGCTGATACAAGCAGGTGAATGCTCAAACTACAGAAAACTCTGGTCTATTTTTCAAGAGATTCATCTCAAGCAACCCTGGGTGGGATGTGCACAGTGTATTCACACCTGAACACGTGTACCCATAACCTGGTTTTACCTCTAGGAGGGCTTTATACAAGCACTGACTTTTTAAATAGACAGACTAGACACAGAAAGAAGAAAATGCCTTGCCCAAGCTTGTCCACTGAAAATATGACAAATGAATATTTCGTGTGCATTTCCTTGTTTCTCTTGAAGCTTTATAGCTTATTTCTATAGATCTTTGATCAGCACCTGTAAACCTTTTTCTAGTCATTGTGAGGATTTTGACCTTGTATTAGTCAGCGGACTTAAGAATTGTCTGTAACGTGATAATGTTATGTATGATAGCTCATACATAACATCCATGAGCAATATCAGGTATCCTTGGGGGTGTCCTGCCACACCACAGCACTCCGGAGTCCACAGTTGCCTGGCAGCACTCTGTGCCAGCCCTGGCTCCAGGGCTGCTTGTGGCTTTCAGGCTTCAGGGAGAAACCTGGTTTTGTAATGCGTGAGTGTCCACGTGCTGTCTGAAGTTGTCAGTCAGTTACACAACGCTGTCTCCATCATCTAGCTGTCCTTCTGGCATTCACACATGCAGCATGGTTTGAATAGTTTAGACTTCAAGGAGTTGCAGTTTCCTTCAAGTTTTTCCAGTACGTTGGAAAAGCACAAAGGGACAAGCCTCAGGCAGCAACAGATAGAACAGGGAGTTTTGGAGAGGAAAATATTGAGAAAGATGCATGATCGAAAATAAGGGATGTTATGTAAAATTTAAAATACCTGTCCTTAGTCCTAATCAATCATCAATTCTAATAGAATCAATTATAATGTATAAATATAATGTTTAAGTGCTTTACTGGCCCATATCCTAAAGCTCTATGGTTCTGTAAAGTTTCTCTTGAGGTTGCTCGCTCTCTTTCTACAGCTGTGAGTTTGATGTGCAGGAGAACAGCCATCCAGTGATGAAATCTGTAACAGTGCTTCAAGGATTCCTTTGTTTTTCCCTATTTTAACACTGCCTGTCAGGATGCAAAAGCTGCTCAGTGTGATACGGTGTCCTTGTCACAGAGCACACAGAGGTAAAGGTTACAGCATGCTGAGCCTGAAGGAGGAGATGCTCCCAACACCAAACACCGGTGGCTGCTCTCCCTCCTCCCGTCATGCATGTTTTGTAATAGAGCAGCAGCCGCACGCCCCTTGGGCTCTGAAGGAAATGCAGGACACTTTGGGATTCCCCTTCTGTCCACTACCCGTGTGTAGCCTCACTCTGCTGTTTTGCATACATGGTCCTCACGTATAAAATGCATTTGCCTCACAGGAGAGATACAGAGCCCCGGAGATTAAAGGAAAGGAACTTTGACAGCAAAGACGATCTCCTGACAGGGCTGGGGAAGTTCTTCGCAAAGCACGGTAGGACAGCTCTGAGTCCCTGTGCTGGGTTTGCCACTGTGTGCTGCAGCTCACAGGTGGAGTAATTATGTGGCAAATTGTCTTGTTTTGTTTACTTTTCTGTATTAGGAGTGAAGTGTTGGAATCAGTTTCCTGCTCTATTTCCAGCTGTTTTGCTGCTCTGGAAACTTTATCTCCCTTTCTGCTGATTTGAAGGTTTGTGCATGTAACAGGTAATGCTGTAAATATTATTTAAAGGACTATGTTGTGGAGAACACGAAGAACAAGTTCTTACTCTGAATGCTCAGAAATGCATGGAAAATGGGAGTCTTCATCTTTGCTTTTCTTTTTTTTCTGTTTATTTTGTTATGATTTTTATTTTTCCTCTTATTACTTTTACTTTTAATCTTTCTTATTATTCTTTCTGATTTTTCTTTCATTCAGTCTTTACTTTTTTCTTTCTCTCTCTCTCTCCCTGTTTTTTCCTTCTCTCTTTCCCTGTGTTTTACAGAAATGTATAGGCACACTGCAGCATTTTATTGCAGAATAGGAATTTAGATTTGTTCCTATTTTGTTACCGTAGAGAAATGCTCATTGCACACTGTTTCTTTTACTTGGAGCAGACAATGTATATTTGTATATACATGGCAATGTATATTTTCTTTCTTTAACTATTTGGAAACATCAGATTTTGATTTGTGCTATGAACCTGCTGGGGCTGATTCTGCTTTACCTTGCCTGAACTAGTCTGCTCCTTTTCTTCTGTCCCACCTTCCCTAGTTCAATAATCCATTGTAGGATGAGAAACTATCAGAAAATGTATGTTAAAATGAATAACATTAACCTTCTTATATTCTTAGGTAAATGCTTTCTATTATTTAAATACATGTGTACATCTTACAAAATACAGAATCTCAGAGCTCCATTAGTTGCTGGCAGATCAATACATTGCAAAACCTTTTGATTGAATTACAGACCTATGAGAATAGCAGCAACAATTTTCATCCCTTTTCCCAGCTATCGTATAGTGATGTGAATTTACAGAAGGTTTAATGACCCTTAGGGAGCTTCTGAAAAACACAACTTACAAAAGAAAGTGTCAAGTGTCAGAGGGTGTTTTTCATACAAGCAAAGCACATGTGTGGTTTTCTCAGACACTGGTGTTTGCTGGTTTATCACCTGTGGGACAGCTGAAATTCTCTTGCAGTATTTCAGAAGGAGGTGTGGCTGCAGCATTACAAAGAGAACTGGCAGTTTCAGCATCAGTCCTCTGAGTCAAGCAGGTTTCGTTTTAAAAACAGGATATTAACTACATGAGGTCTGTTAGGTGGTGAGTTTGAGCAGTTTTAAAGAGTTGCCTTCTTAGATAAAAGCTGACCTTGTTGGGTTTTTTCCCTCCTCAGAAGTGTTTCCACATCACACAAAACAAGATTTCAGCACTGAACTAAAACCATAAACAAAGCATACACAATGCTGTGCCCATGGCAGTTTGCATTCAGACCTCGTGCTGCTAAGAGCCAGTCTTCTGCAGAGAAGGACATCAATAATAACGTGGATAGGAAGAGCCACAGGTAAGATCTCTTACCGTCTTTTAACCGTTTCAGTTTCTCTTCCATTTGGCAAAGGAAAATGTTAAGTGTCATGGGTTCTGCAGCCCTGTACTGTGTTTCCAATGCAATAATATTAACCAAAGAACAGTTGTCCCTGGGAGCCGTTGGGTGGTGATGACTTGGTCAGGTACTTTAAGCTTTTGTGTCTAGGTTATGCAGTCATTGAGGAAATAAATCATCTTCCTTTCTCTTTCACAGCTCTAGATTTATTTGGTGTATTAGGAAGGTTTCACGTATGCTAGGACTTAGGAGGCATGTGTCTGCTGTAAAAGTTAGCAGAGTGGTTATTAATGCTTTAATTCAGTTGGTGTTTATACTGTTTTTACAAGACACTGAATAAAATAAGTGACACATTCATGTTGAATCTCTCAGTTCTCAGGCTGTTACTTATTTCAGTTTTCTATTGCATTTTGTTTCTTTCTCTGCCCATTCCCCTACCCAAATTGAAAAGCAGGAGTTCAGAAAGTAAGGCTTAATGCAGAAACAAAAGGAAATTAATATCAAACTATGTTATTTGCTTAATGGGCTGGAGATTGGACCTAGCTGCTCTTTTCACACATTTCCCAAAGATTTCAACCTTTTTGTTTAATTCCTCTGAGTATTTTTTGGCCACATCATAATTGTACAGATGTCCTTTGTTTAGCTTACAGCAAGGATACTCAACCTTTACCATTCCAGGCCATATCTGTTGTTTTTCTTTCCACATAGTGATCTGAATAGGGTTATCATACCTTTACTACTGACTTCTAGTCCTCTCCACCCCTCATGCTGCTTGGTTGGCTGATGGACTCAGTGCATCTTTCAGCTGCAGCTCTGAGCATCCTCTACTGATGCTGGAGGTAAAACTAACAAAAACTGGTACATTGCATTATACTGAATTGTCTTTCTCTCTTTTAAAGCTTAGAAAATGGCGATGCCAAATTGTATGATCTGAGCAAGAAGTGGATAGAGATGCCACCTGTAACTTCAGCAAAGGCCACTGATGGCAGAGAGGTCTGTTTCTATCATCATAGTTTGATAATAACAGTTCAGACGGGTTGTGCTTGCTGCTCAAAGCTTCTCACAGTTCTCCTGTGAGGACTGACTGTAGTTACATGAGGTTAGGACTGCTGTGAGATATTTGGATGCAAGATCTTGTCTGCACATAAAGGAGCTTTGGTAAGACTTAAGGGAGGGAGGTGACCCGGTGGGGCCTGAAGTGCCTGGCTCCTTTATTCACCTTTGAAAACCCAGCCTTTCTCTAAAATAGTCTGGTTCACTGTTTTTGTGAGACTGTGACTATTAAGAGTCCTTACTGAAATTATAAAGGTGTTTGCAGTGGCAGATTTAAAGTGAATTTAAAATGGCAAATTTAAAATGAAGCTGTAAGATATTCAGTAGGTCTGAAGATAGGAAGTGTTTTTATCTTTTCTCTGTCCAGAACCCCTCCCAAAATGGTATCAAAGCTTCAAACCAAGTATCAAGATGTCCAAGACATGTAAAAGTAAGAAACTTGGAAAATGGCTCCAGCTTTCTTGACACACTGCACCTGACAGCGAAGGAGGTAAGATCTGGAGACCTGAACAGTGGCTTTTCATAAACTTGACAAGATACAGAGTGCAGCCTTGGGTTTTGACGTTTTCTTGGTTTTCAGGTTATCAACTGCCGGACCAAAGCCTGCCAAGGGGCACTCATGACCCCAAAGGGCCTGGTGAGAGGTACTCGAGATGAGCCGGTTCCACCAGCAGAGCTCTTACCTCAGGCAATAGACTTCATCAAGCAGTACTACAATTCATTTAAAGAGTAAGGCAGCTTTACCTTCAGTTTTCATTTAAACTCCTCTCCCTACCCACCAGTCTGTGAGACTGTAGGAGTGCTTGGGTTTCCTCATGGCTATGGGTGACCGTCCTGTTCCATAGCATGCATTCAAAAAATAGATAAGGACTATTAGGAAAGTGAAAGAAAACTATTACTGCACTTCATATGTTCTATCTGCCAATCCGCAGCCTTGGGAGTACAGGAATGAACTCTGCACAGTGCATTCCTCAGCCCTCTCCCTTCTCAGGGTGTTACATTATGTAATCATTTGTAATAATCAGCTTGGTCAGGACTCTTACAGAATGTCACTTTCTGTTTCCTTAACAGTGGATGTTGTTGGGATTAGCTCCTACTCAGATCAGACCTAGATGTGAAATATGTGCATAATGTTTTTCCTTTGTGCTGTTCCAAGTATCTTTGTGTTCTTTTGTTCTGTTTGACTCTCAAGGCTTTAGCCAAAGATTGGAAGGCCAGTCTCTTGCTTCTCAACCTTGCTCTGTGCTATCATCAGCATAAGCTTGCTGAGCATGCTGAGAGGTGCGCTGTAGCTTCAGAAGAGGCTTGTTCTGGCGAAAATGGGCATGGTGCAGAGACATCTTGTTGCAGGAAGAGCTGGAACATCAGGTTGAGGTCCAAGAGTTTGCAGTGCCATTTCACATGATAAGCTTTCAATTGACAATTCAGTGTTTGCTCATCCTATTATAAAACATTATCAAACTTTCAAAGGGGCTCAGCCACATAATAGCTGCTTCTTTAGACACTTTGAACTCCTTCTACAAAGCTTTCTTCCATGTGGATCTTTCTGAAAGTCCCTGTCTTACACACAGGCTGTACTCACTCGCCAGCGTATTACATTTGCACATTGCTGTGTTTCTGCTCATGGCTATTTGATCACACTGATTTACACTATCTTACATGCTTGCCCTTGATCTTTCATCTTGTTGCAAATGTGAAACTCTCAGACAGTGCAGGCTGTTTTCATTGTGTCTGTGAGCCAACAAAACGATTTTTGTCTGTGCTGTGATAAATATTTCCTAATATTTTGACTTCATTCTCTGTTATCAACTAAAGAATTTTAGAGTTGGTTTCACTGACAAAGGAATTAATCAGCACTTCCCTTTAGGAATGAAAATCCTACTTGCCTTGCTCAGAAGGCCTGTGTCCCTGTGAAAATAATAGAACTTTGAGAGGACAGTCACTCTAATCCCACTTTTGGCTGGAGCCAGCCTGTTCTCTGCTGTTCATTTGCTTGTCATTTGACAATTTTTTTCCAAACTAATCTAGAAAACCCAATTTAAACTGAAAACTTACACAGAAAGTCTTCTGATCAATCCATGTATGTGCTGGGGGGGTGAAAGGGGGGTGAGGCTGCTTAAATACTGTGTTAAGTTACCTCATTAGACTAGTGAGCTCTGTTGTTTGCCCTCAATAAGGGCAGTTCCTAAATTCTGAAGCCAGGAACAGTTCTTAGCAGTCCTCAGTCAGTCCTATGCACTCAACTCATCCCTTTAGCTAGAAAATCCCTGCTTTTTGATAACAATCATATCTCAACCTACGTCAGTGCCAGTCCCCTCCCCAGAAGTTTACTCTACCTGCATTCTGGCAGAGAAAATCAGTGATGTCAGTAGAAGTCATCTCATGCAAAAGGATACTCAAAAACTTTATGGCTTCAACAATGCCTGTGCTTCTCTTGACCCAGAACTCAACAAGAACATTTGCAATTTAGATCAGATCGAAGCAATGAAGTCCTCATTGTGTCTTTGTGTGTCTGTTTCCTATTCAGAAAGCCAAAAATAGATGAGCACCTGGCCCGACTGGAAACAGTGACCAGGGAGATAGAAACAACAGGAGCCTACCATCTGACTAAGGAGGAACTGATCTTTGCTGCCAAGCAGGCCTGGAGGAATGCACCCAGGTGCATTGGGAGGATCCAGTGGTCCAATCTACAGGTAACCAAGGAGTCTGGACATCATGGATTTAATAGTGATGTGCTGTAGGCCTGTGCACGTATTGGTAAAATATGGCAGTTGCTTCAACTGAGGACACTGCTCCCTCCTGTACGTACCATGAGATACCTGTGGAGCTGCAATTAAACTGAGAAACACTGACATTTTTCACTTTACTTCTTTCCTTAATCTTTCCTTAAATGCATAAGGAAAATACTAAGCTTACATTACTGTTTCCAAATCACTTTTTTTTCCTCTATGTTTCTTTTGGAAACTTGCAGGTGTTTGATGCACGGGATTGTAAAACAGGAAAGGAAATGTTTGAACATCTCTGTCGTCATATTCAGTACGCCACCAACAATGGAAATATAAGGTAAATCTCTTCAATTTCATTTTAAACAACAGAGTTCACATCCAGTTCTGGATTCAGAACTCCACCTAAAACCTGCAATGGTCTATCTGAATATTTGACAACTTGTTTCTGCTGTTCTCCTCCTGGTACTGCATGTTCCTCTCTAGTACCATCAACCAGCTTGAAAATCTGTAACTTTCATGGCTCATGTTGCAAAGCCTTTTGTAATTCCTGAAGGATAGGGATGATTTGAAGACTGAGAGCAGTGGGGAGAGAGGAGGAATGATTCTATTGCTACTGATGTTTCAGAAATATAAAGTAAATGCTGTTGGCAACACTTTCTGCCTCAGTAAGTAGAATGCGTTTGGTGTGCTGCTGTGCTGTAAGGGGGTTTGATTGTTTCTCTGGACAGATCAGCCATCACTGTCTTCCCCCAGAGGACTGATGGGAAACACGATTTCCGTGTTTGGAACAGCCAGCTCATCCGATACGCTGGGTATCAGATGCCAGATGGGTCTGTCATCGGAGACCCTGCCAGCGTGGAGTTCACACAGGTACATACAGAGCCCCAGCTGCTTTCCCTCTGTCTGACCCATCTGTCTTTTATGCTTTTTCCTTGCATGTTTATGCAGAGGGGAGGGAAATGTGGTGGTGAGGAGTCAGTGGCATGTTCTGCCCCACAGGTTTTAGGTGCAGGCTGAAGCAATAATTTCCTGCAATCCTGATACAAGAATACTCCCCTTCACCTCAGAACAGGGTGAGCTAATGCCTCCCTTAAGTCAGGGACACAGTTAGTACTTGAACAACATGCCTCAACATTGTTTGAATGAGAAAGATAACCTTTACCACTTAGAATTTACCCCAGCAGCTTTTAGAGCTACCTTTTAAAGGTTAACATCCTTTTGTCTTCGAATTTGGGGGGGGGGCAACCAACCTAAACCCCCCCAAAATGTACTTTCTTTATTTACAGCTCTGCATTGAGCTTGGGTGGAAGCCGAAATACGGCCGCTTTGATGTAGTTCCCCTTGTTCTGCAAGCAAACGGCCAAGACCCAGAAATATTTGAGATCCCGCCAGAAATTGTCCTCGAAGTTCCAATGGAGCATCCAAAGTAAGCAGCAAGATTTAGATAATTGCGTTTCTGCCTCTGCCTCACCTTGGCAGGTTATCAGTCATTTTATGAGTTCTTTGTTAGGGTGAGACGATGGTAAATAGTCCTGAGAGACCCAGTTACCGCACTGTAAAGGGAAACTGCTCTGAGCTTTTGCAGACTGTGCTTCACAGGTCATTTCTCCTAGAGCTAGTACTCTTTATCTACCTGGACTTTTCTGGGTATTGCCTAAAGGGGGAAAAGACACATAAAGTGATCAAAATGCTTGTTTAACAGGTATGAATGGTTTAAGGAGCTAGATCTGAAGTGGTATGCGCTGCCTGCTGTCGCCAACATGCTGCTTGAGGTGGGAGGCGTGGAGTTCACTGGGTGTCCTTTCAATGGCTGGTACATGGGCTCAGAGATTGGAGTGCGGGACTTCTGCGACGTGCAGCGGTACAACATCCTGAAGGTAACCTTCTGAAGGGGGGTGTGCTGGTTTGTGATCACACTTGGTGGGTGGTGGCTTCTGAGAAGAGACGCCGTCAGTCTGTGCTGGGTCGGGTGCTGTGTTTACATCACACACTTCAGCACTAATCTAACACAACACCCCGGTTATTGTGGGACATGTTGGACTTCTGCCCAGATCACCATGCCAGATTGTGTGGCTGGTTTACAGTGTCCTGACAGTGTCTGTTCCAAACAGCTGGATAGAATGGTGAACCTGCAGCTGTAAAAAATACAGAATATGGTGTCCAAAGGGAATTCTTCCCTGATTTGACCCCGAGTCCTGCTGATTCAGGACTTCTGGTCTCTGACGTTTCTCAGAGGTGCATTTCTGTCAGTTCCAGTCTGCTGTTGACATGGCATTCCTGGTGGATAACTGCAGGTCTTGGGCACTTCACCAATGCGAATTAAAAATGATGGCTTATAACCAGAAACTGCCACTTTTAACCTGTTTAGTCCAGGAGAAAATCACTCTCTGCTTTACCAAACTCATAATTCAAGTTACCTCTTCCCCCTTCTGCAGTACATTTTCCTGCATATTAGTGTGTTGAGGTGGAGAAATCATGAGGTCTAAGTCCCACATAATAAATTTGCTGTTCTCTTTTCTGTCTGTTTTTCACATATAGGAGGTGGGGAGGAGAATGGGACTGGAAACAAACAAACTTTCATCACTGTGGAAAGACCGAGCTGTTGTAGAGATAAATGTGGCTGTGCTTTACAGCTTCCAAGTAAGTCAACAAGTGTGGTATCTGGAGAGACACTGACTATTGGGTGCCTATTTTTCCTCTCACTTATAACAGCTTTATACAAATACAGTGCCAGTGGACAATGCTCAAGGGAGGTTATCAAATGATTCCAAAAGAGTTATTCTTGATTTACACCTGGGAAAGCAGAGGAATCTGTATTTCCTGTTGTTGACAGAAAACAATCTCAGGTGAAGGCAGAAAAGAGAGAAAAAAGGAAGTGAAGGGCAAAATTGCTCATCCTTTTAATACAAGTCTCAGAATCTATGTAAAGCTATTGGATGAATATCTTTTATTTGCCATTACAGCTTATTTAACATATCATAACAATATGAAAGATGGGTAAAAAAGAATCCAAGGCTTTTCAGGATGTGCTCCAGTGCTGGAGAGGTAAAATGCTGATGTGATAAAAAAAGGGAGGGGCTAAGAGTCCTGAGTCAAAGGTCCACCTCTATCTGTATCTGTATCGTAGTTGCTGATAGTAATTATTTCCCAGCACTGAATATAGTCCTTTAAATAGTAACCAAAGCAAAAGGAGTACATCAGGAAGAGGAGCAGAATGGGATTTTTAATGTATGTCTGTCTTTTTGCAATTCTAGAAACAGAATGTGACCATCATGGATCACCACTCAGCTGCTGAGTCCTTCATGAAGTACATGCAGAATGAGTACCGTGCGCGAGGAGGCTGCCCAGCTGATTGGGTGTGGATCGTACCTCCCATATCAGGGAGCATAACTCCTGTCTTCCATCAGGAGATGCTGAACTATGTCCTCACTCCCTTCTATTACTACCAGGTACACATTAGCCAAAAACGATGATCCTAGTGGCCAACTTCAGCAGTGCAGATACAATAATATTTCATTCAGAAATCCAAATGAAAAGCCCTGGTTAATGAAAGCTCACCAGAGAGATTCATAAATACACATTGTGTTTTTATTGTTCCACATTTCTTACCTCAAGCTTAACTTTTTCCTGTTTTTAAAGGTGGATGCATGGAAAACACATGTCTGGCATGATGAGACCCGGAGGCCAAAGAAAAAGGAAATCAAGTTTAGCATCTTGGCCAAGTAAGTTGTTCAAATAAGAATCCTCATTTTGTCCAACTCTTCAGTTCTTGTGATGTTTCTGTTTCACCTTGGTTGTTTTTTTAATACTAATAATTACAGTGGGGACCACTTGAATTGTTGAATCATAGGCTTACCTGCCATGGTTAGGTAATATTAATATCTAAGATTCTTACTCAGGGCTATCCCTAGTGCTTCTGAACAATCTTCCAAGGAAAAACCATGTTCAAGTTCAGTATTTCCTAGCTTGGTTGTGAGTCAATTTGAGTTACTGTTTATATAAAGAATTGTGTGTGATTATTTTTCCCCAGGGCTGTCCTCTTTGCATCTTCACTCATGCAACGAACAATGGCAGCCAGGACCAAGGTCACTGTAATCTATGCAACAGAGACTGGGAAATCTGAAACACTCGCCAACAATCTGTGCAGCTTGTTCAACTGTGCCTTCAGCACCAAGGTAAGAAAGCCTTAATCATCCACGCTAAATGGAGGAAGATGTTTGGCTGGTGTCATCAGCTTCTGCAAGCCTTTTCATTCCCTAAACCTATGTTTTGAACATTCAGTAAATACAAGTTGGATTGGGACTTTGATTTTGTATTCATTTAACGTTGCACCTTGTAAACGTGGTCAGTGGTCATCTGACAACCAGGGATATCTAATGCTGGTTCTTATGTCTGCCAGCAGTTTCTCATGAGCTTTATACCTTCCAGATTCTGTGCATGGATGAGTACAACATTCGTGACCTGGAAAAAGAAACACTTCTGTTAGTGGTTACCAGCACTTTTGGCAATGGAGGTTCTCCAAATAATGGAAAGGTAATATTCACCTCAGAAGTGTGTATGGGGCTCAACTCAAACACTTAAGACCAAAGACAACCCTTTCTTTTACCCCATGTACTTAAGAAAGATATAGATCAGGGTCTCAGTTCTATTTTTAATCAGAGCATTTTTCTAACCTGAAGTATTTTATGGATTTTCATACAGACTTTGAAGAACTCCTTGCTCACCCTGAAATCACTGAGAAAAAAGATCAGGTAGAACACTTTGTTGTTTGATTTGCATGTGATTGAGTCCTTTTGCATTTCATTTAGCATAACACAGTGGTCTTTCTTGTATCTCCTCCTGCAGATACGCTGTGTTTGGTTTGGGCTCCAGCATGTATCCGGAGTTCTGTGCCTTTGCTCATACCATTGACCAAAAACTGGCCCAACTTGGGGCTTCTCAGCTCACTCCAATAGGTGAAGGAGATGAACTTGGTGGGCAAGAAGAAGCCTTTCGCTCATGGGCAGTCACTGCATTCAAGGTGACCACATAAATAGCTCGTATTTTACTTTGTTCATTCATTCCTTTTATTTCAGTATTCACTGGCCTCCATAAAAATGGGGGGGAATGAAGGAAAACAAACAACTGGATTTATATTCGAGTTTTGAACTCCCCTTTTTATACTGCTTGCCCAAGTTGAAGAGGGAACTGGGCCCCTTTTCTCTTTATTTTTTGATATTCACATAAAGCTCCTTTGCGATAGTGGAATGTTCAGGATGAACATTCAGCATCAAACATCAGGAGTTTTGGAAGTAGATTGGGTTTTAGCTATACTGGTCTAGAAGTGGAACCTTTCTGAATCCCTGTCACGTCACTAAACTCAATAGAATCAATAAAATTAGCACCGAGTTCTCCTCAATGCAGCACTAAGATTTTTTTCTATTATCCTTATGAATAGCATTCTTTTTCTTTGTTCTAGACTGCCTGTGACATTTACAACATCCAGGGCAAAGCCAGTATTCAGTTGCCTGAGATTTATACCTCTGATGAAAGCTGGGATCCTAAGAATTACAGGATAGTGCATGACTCTCAAACCATGGTCTTGGCTAAAGGTATTACCTCCCACGTCTCGCCTTCTCTGTCCATTTTGCTTCAGATAGGTCTGAACTGGAAAGGTTTATATAGTGACATTGGTCCTGCTAGGTGGTAGAATGCAGGTAATGAAGTGCAGTGGTCAGAGAAAAAAAAGACATTGGTTTCCATTGCATTAATCATTATCTTTTCCATCAGAACACCAGAACTAGGATACATTTGACAGACCCAGAAGAACAAAAGCTGAGATGAAGTACTTTTAGTCAGGGAAGGCATCATGCACACAGGACACATAGGTGACTAATTCTAGGGGAGCATGGTTCAGGTCTTTTCTGCACGTTGTTTGATGACCTTTTAAACAAACCTTATCACAAAATTCCCATGAGTCATGTCCATGTCCTCTTTTCTCAACAGCACTTGGAAGCATTCACAGCAAGGATATCATTCCCATGAAGCTGAAGTTCAGGCAGAATCTTCAAAGTTTAAAATCCAGGTGTGGTACCTCAGTCTTTTGAATATTGCCATACTACATTATACTGCAGTCTTAAACATCTGAAATGTCTGGTTATAGACATCTTCTCCTGCAGTTATTGAGAAATACATACAAGTTTCAAATGATCATTAGAAGTAAATCATTATCATAAGTCCACAGTCATACATACAATCTTAATTCTGGCTTAAGAAAGAGGTGGCTTCGCATTAGGGTCTATGAATGTAGGGGAATAAAAAACTTTGTGATCCAGCCCTTTGATCTCTGCTGAGCTGCTCTGCTGGTTTGGTGCTGAACACAAGTAAGCTCTTGCCAGCTGCCAGCTCAGATTTATTCCTGTTCGGTGCAACTCAAGGGAAATCCTGTCGACGTAACCGAGATGTGTCTGATCTCTTTTCTCTCTATCCAGTCGTGTTACCATTCTAGTCAAGCTTTCCTGTGAGACTGATCGGGAAGTGCACTACCTGCCTGGAGAACACATCGGGATTTTCCCAGGCAACCAGCCAGAATTAGTCCATGGCCTCATTGCACACGTCAAGGATGCGCCTCCAGCTGACCAGACTGTCAGACTTGAAACCTGCACCAAGGGTAAGTTGGTTCTCTTCAGATCAAATAGCAGAGGATGTTTGACAGATTTCTCTGCAGTTCCTGAGAAGTTTTATAGACTGAATTTTCTATATCATCCTTTTCTTAAGTTTCAATAGGATTTTGTGGAAGCTTTTAGTTACTCTTACAACTCTCAATTCTGACTTTGCACACTCTGGCAGCCCATGGTAACTGCACCAGCGTTTGCAGAGTTATCCTGGGTTGACAATGTAACTCAGTCGCTGAATTGGCCACTGACTGCAATTAAACAGAGTTTGCTATGTATGAGTCCTAAAATAGATTTGCATGTTGTGACCATCTTTCCATCTTAGTAGGAGCCATCTGCCAAATCATAGCATTCTGCCACCCAGAAAGATGATGTGTTCAGATGGAAAACTTCATTTTGAAGTGGTGTTTTGCTATCATGCAGTTCTCTGCACCAGAGCCTCCACTTACAAAAGTCTGAAGCCTCACACTAACGTCTCTTCAGAAGGGCCCTGTGGTCCAGACCTGCTGCAGCCTCATCTGAAGTGAAGGACACCGAGTTTTGTAAAGCTCTGCAGATGTCAAATGCTGTGGGAACTGAGAAGTGTTCTTTTGTTTCCCTGGTTTCCAGGTGGCTGCTGGACAAGGGACAAGAGGCTTCCAGCCTGCACACTGCCCGAGGCACTGACGTACCTGCTTGACATCACCACTCCACCCTCCCAGCAGCTGCTGAAGAAGCTCTCCCAGCTGGTAACAGCGGAGGGAGACAAACAGAGGCTGGAAGTTTTGTGTCAGGTAAGTGTTAGGGCTACGTTTACATTAGGAGACAGTGCACTGGGCCATGTGATGCCCTTTCATTTTGCAGCAGAAGCTAAGGAGTTTTGTAGTGATGGTGCCTGATTTTATGCCTCTGTTACATGTTCTGTGTGCCCGTAAAGCCAACCACAGAGAGAAGGGCTGGTCTTGTGGCTCACTTGGGCGTGGGAATCGAGATGTCTTCAGATCTGGCATTTCCTGTGGGGCTCTGGGTGGGTTGTTTTGCCTGCCCATGTCTCGTGCTTCCTCATGGTGGTTCCTGGTGATGTGCCACTAGAACAGCTCACAGCTGGCAGGTGGAGGGGCTGCAGGGGAGAGGGTAGGTATTTTTGCCAGAGGATTTGGTACCATGCACTAAGAGGGACTTACACACCAGTAACCAGCCTGGTAACCACTGGTGTGTAAGGGCTTGCTTCTCCTGCTGGGCTCAGTGAGGCCCAGGAGGTATCAGGGCCTGGGCCCATAGTGTTGTGGATGGCCCCTAGCAGGGGGCTCAGAAACAGGCTCAGTCTCTACATCCACACTGAGTGAGCTGGTATCTGAGAAGGTCATAGCAGGTATCCTGTACCTCTGTGTTCAAAAATGAAATGGCTACTTAGGGAACCCCAGTGTCACTTTAGGCAAAGTTTTGAGAGCTCTCTGGTGATTTGCCTGCACATTTCGTTGAACATAAGGCAGAAAGCTTATATATAAATGACATTGCAGATCTCCCTGCTCTGCTGATCTCAGTGTGAATGACCTGCTAACGTTGTCATGGTGGATTTTGGCTTTTAGAGCACAGAAGAATACAATAAGTGGAAGTTTTACAACAGCCCGAACATCCTGGAGGTGCTGGAGGAGTTTCCCTCTGCTGAGGTCTCAACAGCTTTCCTCCTGACTCAGCTGCCGCTCCTGAAACCCAGGTACTATTCTGTGAGCTCCTCCTGTGACCTGACAGCCAGAGAGATTCATCTGACAGTTGCAGTTGTAAACTACAGGACAAGAGGTGAGGACATTTGGTTTCACTTCTCTCTGAATTAAATGATGTTTAGGCTGCATTGAGGTGCAGGAATTAACTGTCTCTGCCATATGGCATGAAGCATACCTACAGCAACAAGTTTGTATTGTGATACATACAGAGCAGTGTACTGCAGTGCAGATGCTCATACTGTGTCAGGGTGGGCATCATCATCAGCGTATCCTTGTTCTATGAATCATTACTAGACATTACCTATTCCTTATATTACTTATTTAAAACCCATAATTTTAGGTGTAAAATGTGTCTTTTTAGACGAGAGAGCTTTAGAACTGACAGATGTTTTCCCTTGCTCTGAGCAGATGGACAAGGGCCTTTGCACCATGGAGTTTGCAGCACGTGGCTGAACACAATAGCTCTCAATGAAATGGTTCCGTGCTTTGTACGCAGGTGAGTGTCTGACAGAGAAACAGGGAAAGAAACAGAAGGCAATGGTTCTGAGGTCAGCTTCTTCAGTGGGTTTTTCACTGGGTGCATTTGGTTTTCAAGGGAGTGGTGAGTGCAGGTTGGAATATCTGAGTGTGAGGAGAGGGAATTCCCCATCCTCCAGAGATGGGATCCTGTACCTTGCCTTACATTGAGTAAGATCAGACTGGTGACTTCGGTTGTGCTGCTGACAGTCAGTCAGGACACAGGCACTGAGCTCTCACATCAACTAATGGCATCATTAACGTCGTTCTGCATTTTAGTGCCAACGAATTCCATCTCCCAAAGGAGCCAAGCAGGCCGTGCCTCCTGATCGGCTCAGGAACCGGAATTGCTCCCTACCGGAGCTTCTGGCTGCAGCGTCTCCACGACTTGGAAAAGAGAGGTACTGATGGGGATTGCCACAAGGGGGAGGCCAGAACCTGCCTGGCAGCAGGAGACGTCCCTCGCCCTCCGAATGAAACCTCTGCAGAGGGAGACACCCAGAGACACTGCCCAAGAGCCCTGCCTGAACCCTGCCCTGAAACAGCTCCTCTGTCCCGTTGAGACCATTCTGGTGATCTCGAGGTGTTTGGTCACTTGGAGGAGCAGCCCCTGTGTCCTTGTAACTGCTCTGTGTTCAGTGACTGCCCCAGACACTCAAAACGTGGAGGGGAAACACCTTGGCCTGCCCAATCAGCCCATCTGTGGAACCTGCTCCAGCAGGTGATTCCATGTAGGTCCCCAAGGGCTCGGGCAGGTTCCATCCTCCTGCAAGACCCTAAAACCTGAGCAGAACACAGCGTTCCAGGTGTGGAACAGAACAGCTCTACACAGCCAGTGGCTGTGGCAGCGGGGCCCGCTATGGGGATAGTCATAAGGGATAATGTGCCTTTACCAGGAAAGACAAGCAACTTGCCAATGTTGGTTTCAGGGATCAGAGGGGGTGACATGACGCTGCTGTTTGGCTGCCGGCAGCCAGACATGGATCACCTCTACAAAGCAGAAACTGAGGAAATGAAGAGGAAGGGAGTCCTGAAAGAAGTCTACACAGCCTACTCCAGACAGCCTGGCCAACCTAAAGTAAGGCTGCTTCCTCTGCTCTGTGGCTGTGGCAGTTGTAACTGGTTCTGAGGAAGAAGAGTCTCAGTCTGCTGTCGTTAAATCAGGCCTAGCCTCCAAATCTGGGGCCTGTAAAGACAGCATGAAGCTGTTTTCTTCTCCTGTGCTGTGGTGCAGCACGCAGCGGGGCCAGGGTGGTTAAACCCTCACTGTGTCAGCCCCCATTGAAAACCTTTTCTGGCCCTTTTTCTGTTTCCAAGGTCTATGTTCAAGACGTTCTTCAAAGCAAGCTGGGGACCAAAGTGTGCAACCTCTTGCACAAGGAGGAAGGGCACCTCTATGTCTGTGGAGACGTGCGCATGGCCAAGGACGTTGCTCAGGCTCTGAAAAGGATGCTCACGAAAGCCCTGAAGCTCAGCGAGCAGCAGGCAGAGGAGTATTTCTTCCAGCTAAAGGTACGCTGTGACACACGAGGTGGCCTTCCCAGTCACACAGTGCTCCGGGGTGGGACGTGGAAGTCTTCAGTCACCCTCCAGACCTTGAGGGCTGCCATGAGCATGCACGAGGAGAAAAGCTTTACGTGATGAGCTTATTCCCTGCCCCGTGCTGTAAAACACAGTTTCTGTTTGGTTAGGGTGTGAGAGTGACGCCTGATGCCCTTCTCTTACATCTGCCATTTGTTTCTCTTTGGGTCCTGGACATCAGCTTTGGGCTGGGTCCAGAGCAGCAAGAGTTTGTGTTGTACCAGTGGAGCAAAGTGAGTTTAGGCAGTCACTGAAAGCAGAGTGCTTGGGGCTTTTTAGGACCCTTTTGCTACCAGAACTTGTCCTGCAGCACACGAGTGCCTGGGAGTCAGACAGGTTCTTTTACCGACAGAAACAAAAGCCACTGGCACAGAATGCACAAGACCTTTTGGTTACTGAGCTCCTGCACAGGGAGCAGCGCTGAATTCATCTCTTGGCTTTCCTTTCATTTCTGCAGAGCCAAAAGCGATACCACGAAGATATATTTGGGGCTGTGTTCCCACCGGAAGTCAAGAGAGGGGTGGGAGCTTTGCAACCCAGCAGCCCAAGAGCAAATCACCTCCTGTTTTAGCCGGTCCTTGCACATTTGTTGTTGTTTTCAAAACGCAAGGGCTCAAATCCTCTTTCTCATGCATGTTCCTGTATGTGTGGCACGCATGTACATGTATAGAACATGTCTGTGATGGTAGGATTTGAGCTTTAAACCTCAGCCTTAAGAAAAACATGAAGTCTAACGTTTTGTTGCTATTTATTCTGAGACTTCATTGATTTTCTCAATCGTGAAGATTCAAACTATTTTTGTAATGCTGTCTGCAGTCTGTGTTTGCTGTTTTCTGTAAATATGAGGAAATTCCAAGGTTTTTTTATGGTGTGAGCTGCAAGTGGAATATTTCTTGAACCGCACTGTATCTGTGTGAGGGGTTTGTACCAGATTCTCTCCCTGTGCACGTTTATCCTTTATACTTTAAAGCAAGTAACTGGACGGTTGTGCTGCTTGGGAATGTTCAGTCCCACGCCTGGGTGCATCTGCAGCAATATTTGCAAATGAGATAATAAAGTGATGGTTCCCAAGTGGCAATACCTGCTCCAGGTGTGGGTGCATGAGGAGGCAGTGGCTGCAGTTCTGCTTCGTGTGTTTCAGGTACTTGAACCTGAATTGTTGTTGTTACACAGCCCATGGCAGGAAGGTTCGGAAGTCAAAAGCACTTGGTACATTTGAATTCTATGCTCTGATTTACTTGATTTGTGTGTAATAAAAGATGCCTTTATATTGAGACAAACGTTGCTGTGGATGGAACTGCTGTTGGCTCTTGCGATTGGCTTCATTACAGCCCCCAGTCAGGATGGGGTTTAAGCTGTGCATCAGGTTGAGCACTTGAGTGGTGCTGCTGGAGGCAGAGGGATGTTCTGGGCTCCCAGGTTATGAGCTCCTCGCTGGTTTGGGGACTCCACCGGGCTGAGAGTGGCAGAGGAGCCCTTTCTGAAGCACCGAGTGGTTGTTTGCTTTCACTTGAGCCCTGCTTACACAGCTGAGGTGGAACCCAGCACTCAGGACAGGCTGGATGCTGAGGCTCCGGGCCGGGGTGCAGGCTCTGAGGGGCCAGCAGCTGATCCTGATCAACTGCTCCATGCAGGGCAATGAGGGGCAGCTGAGCCCCGCGGGGCACAGCCCCACACACAGAGGCTGCAGTGCTGCTGTGAGGTTGGTCCTGCCGGGCAGGGAGGGCAGCAGGAGCCCGGGTAGGTCAGAGGCTTTCTTTCCTTTGTGTTGAAATGGTGATTTCTGTTGTTGCTGTGCAAAGGGTTCTGAGTGATGGGGAGGGGGGGGGCACGTCCCTGCCCCAGTCTGTGGGGCTGGAGCCGCTGCTGTGTGCGGGCAGGAGCAGGCTGAGCTCTGGGGTAGGAGGCGGGGATGTGTCGGGATGAGGCTGTGATTTGTTGGGATAACTGATGCGGTGCGTCCGGCTTTCCCGGAGCTTGCCTCAGTCAGGTGCGCTGTAGCCTGGTCTGTGCCGTGGGCTGTTCTGTGGTGCCTTCTGCGAATGACCCTGCCCTCTGTGCCCGCGCTGGGATGTTCTGTGGGATGGCAGAGTGCTGAACGGCCAGCGAGGTGCGGCTGGGCTGGGGAAGGGATGGTCCCCTCCGGGCTTCAGGTTCGGAACGCAATGGAGCGTTCCACGGCGGCGGGCTGGGGCCAGGAACGGTCTCTGCTTGTGCCGGAATTTGTCTCTGCTGAGGGGTGAGCGCCGGCTGCTCCCGGAGGAGGGAGGCGGAGCTTTGGGGGTGTGGGAGAAATGAAGCGCTTGGGCTGTGCACCAGGGACCGCGTTGAGTCCCGAGCGAAGGGGTTTGAATCCGCGGGGATGCTCCGGCCAGGAGGAGGCGCTGCCGCGCACACAGCGCCCGTTAACGCGGCTCGGGGCGCTCAGCAGGGGCTGCGCTGTGTCTGTGGGGCTCTGGGGTAGGGAAAGGGTGGGAAACCTCCTGCGGCTGCTTCACTGGGCCGAGGGAAGGGCGGAGGTTGGGGGCTCCCGGGGGAGATGGGCTACAAGTACACGGGGCAGGGGAGGGGAGGTGAAGCCACGGTTCGGCACCGCTCGCGTTACCCGCAGCAAAGGTTTATTCACCGAGGGGTTCCCACGCGTCCAGGGGCCGCTGCCTGCCTCTGCCGGCTGCAGGAGGTATCGCGGGCCCCGCTGTCGGCGCCACCGGGGTTTCGTTCATTTCCGAGCCATTCTGAAGGCGCTCGGCAGCGAACACAAACCCCGGTGTTCTGCGCAAAGCTTCCAACGCAGCTGGAAGAGCAGGAGGTGCCGCAGCCCCGGAGCCGGGCTGCCCCCGCGGGCTCCACCGGCACCGGGCTCCTGCAGCAGCAGCAGCAGCAACACAACCGGAGCACCACGAGTGCCTCCCCTCTGATAGAAGGGGGCAGGAGGCCGGGTCTGGCTTTCAGGAGCAGTTTATGGGTGTTAAATGCAAACCCAAGGTCGGGTTGAGTTCGAATCCCAGATCTTGTGGCTCAGGCCCGTGCTGCTTTGCCAGCACAAGGGGATGTTGGCGCTCAGGGAATGAGGAAACTGCCTGGTGCAGGGGCAGCGCATCCTCGCGGACAGGGCCTCAGTTAGACCCGAGGACAGGCCAGGAAGGACAAACAGTGATGGGGCTTGTTCGGGCTTTAATTACTCTTTTTTAATGGGGCTCTGGAGCAGCGCTGCCCATCCTGCTCCTCACCAGGCACAGCCTCAGGAGCAAACCAAGGCTCTGTTGCTCCCCCAGAGAGGCTCCTGCACGCAGGTGCAGCAGCTGATGAGGGACGAGCTCCAGTGTCCATGGGCCAGTTGTTGACTGTTTCCTGCTGGGAAGTTCCAGGTGTTCCTGCTCCCCAGGGCAGGGGTGAGGAGCACAGGGGGCTGCTGCCCCCCAGGACGTGCTCAGAGCTGAGGCTGCAGCCCCAGCACCTGCAGCAGCCGCTGCAGCAGGAGCAGGGTGAAGCCCGGAGGTTTCCTGGCTTAGCTTTGGGGGTGCTGCTGTGATTTACGCAGTGCCCACAGGGCAAACAACAGCTTAAAACCGCTGACGCAGCACTACTGTGGGAACAAACAGGAGCAAGTCTGGAGGAGAGCAAGGTGGTGAAGGCTGAACACACGGGGGTGCAGGGGGGTGTTTGTAACAATAGGGAGAGGAGGGAGGGCAGAAGCAGTGCCTGCTACCACCAAACCCATGTTTTGTGTGGGACATGGAACAAAATCACTGCCAGAGCACTCGTGGGAGTGCTCCCGGCTTGCCCGAGGCAGGGGAGCTCTGGCCAGCACAACCCAGGGCTTTCTTTGCCACTGAATTTTCTACAAGTCACCCTCCTGCCCCCGAGTGCCTTCCGCCTTCCCTGCATCATGGGGGCTAGAGCTGCCCCCGTGCCCCTCACAGCCCCCCATGGTGACAGGTGTGTGTATGGGGGTGCAGTGTGCCAGTGCTGCTGGAGAAATGGAATCTGCGGGCTTCCAGGGACCCCTCATGACCCGTCCTCACTCATAACCTCCACCTCGTGCACTGGAGAGGGTATGGGGGGGGGTGTGTGTCTTCAAATCACTCTGACGCAGTCTGAGCAGGGCTGGGTCAGGTCCTCGGGAGCCAGGCGTGACCCTTCCTGCCCGCAGGAGTTCTGTGAAGTTTCACTGGGGCTCAGCCTGGGCAAACCCCACTGCAAGAGCTTGAGTTTTACCATAATGAAAGGCAAGGGCAGGCCTGGCCTCCAGCCCTGCTGCTGGAGCCAGCCCTCTCCCCTGCTCCCCTGCTCCTGGGGACAACAAGGGCTCCGAAGGCAGAAGGTCGCTGCCGTTCGCCGCAGACCCCAGAAGGAACCCGAAGCGGTTCTGGTTTGGGTGCTGCTGGGGCGCGGCCGCGGTTCAACCGGATTCACTGCTTTATTGTGCTTAAAAAAATAGAGTTCACACAAAGATCCATGTAAACATTCCTTACACAACCGCTGGTGCTCGGGCAGGGCCGGGCCGCCGGGGCCGAGTGCGGACACGGGTGGGAGCAGCGGGGCCGGGGCCAACGACCGCTACAGCTTCTGGTGACTCGGTTCCAGGATTCCCAACCCAAACCTCTCAAAGCGCAGCACAACTTTGCTACTGTTAATGCTGGAGAGAGCGGGGAGGGGAGAAGGGAGGGAAAGTCACTTACTTTGGTCTCCTCACCAAGCTACAGCCCTATAAAAGGAACTACGATGGGTTAGGTTCTGATCCCATATGACTCCAGATTGGCCACAAAAGAGGCTTAAGTAATTAAGCAGCAAACCCTTGCCCTTGTTTGTCCTCTCTGGTTCCTGGCACGCTCTCCTCAGCCCTATCCTCTGCCCTCCAGGACAAGGTGGTTTTCAAACTCATGAATTGGTAGAGAATGGAAGCAGACCTTCTCTACAGAGGCTGCTGTGTTACCTGCACCTCTGCACAGCCCCAGGCGTTAGGGCAGGGGGTCTGCTGCAGAGGGATGTGAACAGAAGCAAACCTAAGATCCAGAGCACTGATCTGCAAGGGGAGGAGGAGAACCCGAAGGGTGCTCTCGCTTTCCTCCTCTTTCACACAGCAGTGCAGCTGAGCCCAGCTGACCCATGCACCCCACCAGTGCGCCTCTGCCCCATGAGACTCGCACAAGTGACCCCAGGCTCAGGACCCCCACCCTGCTGGGCAGCACCGGCTCAGTCCCACGCGCTCGTGAGCCCCTGCCCAGGGCCGGTGGCCGCCCGCTGGGGCTCCCAGGAGCGCGGTGCCGCGGTGTTAGGCAGTGGCCTCTTGCAGGCAGGAGCTGTTATTGAAGCGAGCAGCCCACACCCAGCGGGAAAGGCAGAAAAGGAGGAGCTCAGATCAGTGTGGGTTATGTCCGGGTTAATTTCGTGGGTTGGTTTTGCAATGGAAGGTGATTGTCCGAGTTGCCGGTTAGGATACAACACATGGAAACATGCAAGTTGGAGCCCGTTATTGCACCAGTAGCTACAACCTACAGAGAAATACAGGAGGGAAGGGAAAAGACACCATGAGAGTTAGTTTCCAGTTATTTAAAGCAAGTCCTTGAGAGCTATTGTAAAGGTTACACTGGAGCTCAGCGCGGGGTTAGTGCCATGTTTGTCAGAGGGGAGGTGAAGGCATCTTCAGTGGGTCTGGAACCTAAGCCTCCTCCCAGGTGTGACCCCAGGGTAAGGCAGCTGAACAGCAGTGGAGCTGCTACACTCTCATTTCATTGAGCAGTAACTAATGCTGATAACCGATACTGACACCTCAAGTGCTTCTCCATGTTAAGGGCTTTGAGCAGAGAAAGAGCAGGAATGTGTATGAATTGCCATGAACCACTTGTGGGGTGGGGAGGCTCAGTTTGTCACCCAGGCAAAAATAACTTCAAAGGGAAATAGTGGCATGTCCTCTGGTGCTTCCCTTCCTCAGCATCACAGCACAGGGGAAATTCTAATGACCCTGGGGGCAGTGTGGGCCCTTTGCAATGCTCTTGGTAGATCCTCTCCAAACCAAACATAAAGCAGGATAAATAATCTATTGAAGGAGGGAGGGGAACACGTTGAAGTAGGAAATGAACTGCCTGAAGCATGCCAGCTCAGTGTCATAACCTCCTGGTACCTCAAAAGCAGAACAGCATGCTGCTACCCGCCCATCAGAGGTTTGACAGCCCCCAGGAAGGCAAAGGAGAGCCCAGAAATCGCAGGTAGCAAACTGAGCAGCAGGGATGTGCTCGCAGCAGCCAATACTCACTCAGCAGACTTCCAGAAGTGCCCCGGGTGGGAGAGCCGACGGTTCAGTTTTGGCAGTTTTTCAAGCATATCCATGAGGACCGTGAAGCTCGGCCTCTCGCAGGGGTCGAAGGACCAGCACGCCGAGAGGATCTCCTGCAAAGGGTATTTGTGCCTCATCATCTCCACTCGGGTCAAGGCCCCCTCTGCAGAGCAAGCAGCTGACAGCACTGCCTGGCTCCAGCCCAGCCACAGACGCTATAGAGGTCTTGGGCATCCTTATAACCCAGCAGTAACCTGGTGGATGCCCACTTCTGTGTGGCAGTCAGGGGCAGAGGCTTGTACCTAACCTGGTGTCCATTATAATCTATATCTCCCCTGCCTTTTATCTTTAGACTTACAAGTGAGTCTCTTTAAGTAGCCCCTCTTTCCTGATCAATAGCTCTGGGGCAGGATTCCTGCAACCAAGGTACTCACATTGACTTCTTTCCCCAAGCTGACAGTTGCAAGGACTTGCTTCACCCCTTCGCCACTCCCAATCTGCCAGATGAGCGCCTCGGCAGGCTGGGTCTTGAAAGGCCACTCTCTTGCTTGGAGCTCATACCACACAGTCCTGCAACACCAATGGCAAATCAAGCCTTTGCCTGCTTGTGACAGAAAGATGCAAACCCTGTCACTGCTCCCATTCCTTCAGCCAGGCTCTGGAAGGTGTCTGAGGCTGAGCAGCAAATCCCACCCACCCCACGCACCTCCTGCTTGTGGCTTTTGTAGTAGGTGAGGACATTGCATCCTCACTGGAATCCCGCATGTGAGCAGAGGACGGCTGACCCAGAGGGCTCAGCCTGGAACAGATCTCACTTGGGAAGTTCCCATGGCATTCCCGGGTGTCCCTTTCTTACCCAAAGGCGTAGATATCTGCTGCTTTGGAGAAAGGCAGCTTGTCCTCATCTTTCCCAGGGGCCATCTCACGAACAATCTCGGGGGCCAGGTAACATAACCAGTCATGAGGCAGCTTCAATTCATTCTCCCTCCTGAGGTCCAAAAAGAAGTGGCACTGAAACACTGCTACATTAGCCAGGAACAGACCAGATCTGTGCCTCACCTAATGCCTAGGCTTTAGTCACTCAAATGTGTTTGCTGACATTTCATTTCTCATTTTAATGCCATATTAAAACCCATGCATGCGTTAGCCTGGCTCTCCAGCTCATTCTGGGGCTTAAGGTTAGGTTTGCTTGTCAGTGTTCTGAGTCCTAACCCACACAGAACTCCCCAGCCCTGAGCTACTGGAACTGTAGCAGGAACTCTGCTTAGAAAAAGAAAACAAAGGGTATTCCAGAACTGTGTGTATGTCCCAAAGCAATTGACATTCCTCACTTATAACTCGGTTTCCCTATTTGACCACTATTTATCATTCCAGAAGCAGACCCAGCACTGAAACCTCCACTTACCTTCCTTCCTGAACCACACCCGAAATTCCAAATAATCCAAAGTCAGTGATCACAACTTTCCCATTGTCATAGAAAACATTCTTGGATTTCAGATCCTTGTGCACAATGCCCTTTGCATGAAGATAGCCCATGCCCTGGCAAACACATGCAGAGAGAGACACTTTTAATTGTACTATTACTATTTACTGCCCATGCTTTGCTTTGTAGCGCACACACTGACCCTCCCTACTCCAGCATAAATGATGAATTGTAAGTGGGGACACAGCAGCAAAGGTGCAAGGGAGCAGATCCCTGTAGTGCTTGGAGTTGCAAGGCTGCAGGAGGGGTACCCTGAATCGGAGCATTAAGTGGCTGTGGACCTCACGCTCTGAAGTCTGTGTGTGTCAGATGACAGAGTTTGCTCTCTGAATTCACACCATGTTTCTGCCAGAAAAGAAACCGGCAGCTTTAGAAATGCTTCTTCAGTTGAGCAATATTGAAAGCCCAGAACAGACTCTGCAGCTCTGGCAGGAATCCCCATCTGCTCCTGAGCGCATCAGCTCAGCTGCGGCTACTGACAGGAGGGACCGGGAGGAACCCTGCCCCACACACCTTCCTTCACTGCTCCCCTCCGCTCTGCGCCAAAGCATCACATCTCTTACCTTAATGATCTCCTGTGCTATCTGCCGGGTTTTGTTAATGTCCAGGGATATCTTGGGGTCCCTCACAAACGAGTGAAGTGTCCTTCCTTTGCAGAAGCTACAGGAAAGAGGAACAACAATCCCAAAAAAGGTCTTTAAGATACTGGAGGGAAATAAAAGGGTAATACTGGTGTTTGGGTTTCTTATCCTGGTGACAGAATCCCAGTGCTCTTCAGAATCACCTTTTGGACTAGGAGAGTGGCATGCCCTCGGCCTTACATAAATTCAACCTGCACAGGAACACTCCAAAAAGCATTTAGGAGCTAAATGATCCTCATCTCAACTAAATACTGAAAACAAAGGAGGGGACAAAACCAGTGCCATTGCTGCCAAGTGTCCCTCAGAGGAACAGAAAAGGTAATTAACTGATGCATTACCAGCCTCACACACTGCTTTGCTGGCACTTTGCTGCACTGGAAGCATTTGGAAGGAGATGGCAGAGGAACAGCCTGTTCCAAATTTTTTTCCTCCTACATTTTGGATTTTATTATTTAAGAATTCAAAAAGAAAACGAAAATTGGCAAAAAATACTGTATGTTCCCTGAAAGGAGACAACGCTTGTATCCAAAACTGAGCAACACAGCCTGTGTGTCTGCCACCTCCTGACAGTGAGAGGGTTCTTTTTATAGATAAAGAATAAATATTAACTTATATGATACATATATATTAAAATACTACTGTGCTGCTCTATCCTTACCTGGTAATGATTGCTAGATGAGGGGGGTTCATGCATGCTCCCATGAAGAGTACCACGTTCTCATGCCGGGTCTGCCTGTAGTTCATCACCTCCTTCTTAAAGAGCTTCAGATGATCCTGGTTGTTCCCATCTATCTCCAGCAGCCGGATGGCCACTTGCCCATGCCACTTCCCCTTGTAGACCTTCCCCCACCGCCCTTGGCCAATGGGATCCCCCAATTCAATCTGTTCAAAGGGGATGTCCCACTCCTGCAGGTACACACTGGTCTGGCTGGGCTTGCGGTAAATCATCCCTTGCAAGCGGGGCCGTCTGTTTGGCAGATCCTCCACCTCATCCTCGTCATCTTCAGGGTCTGATTTATTAGCCTCTGGTTCCTCCACCTGCTCACAAACGCAGAAGGGAAACACATGCTGAGAGCCCCCTCTGAGGGGCAGTAGCAGCCCAGCAGCACAGGCTGCCCTGAGAGAACCTCAGGGGTTGGATGTAGGCACCTGGACATCTGTATGTCTGTGTGCAGGTGCAGACAAGAAAGGCTTCATCCCGCATAGAGATGAATTTGTAGAAAAGTGAGGGGCAAACCAGAAAAAAACCTACCTCTGCTTCACATTCAACTCCGTGTGTGCCTGGCTGTTGATCAGCACTGATAAAAGAAGAGAGGATTACAGTGAAAACAATGTTTGCATATCCACCCGAGTCAGAAAAGTGGGCTGCTACATGTGCTGTTAGTGGAGTGAAGGAAGCAAATGGAGAACAGATCTTGACAGCATCAGAGGAGCGCAGAGAAAACCACAATTACTGCTCCATTTAACAGATAAGGACTTTCTAAGGTTACTTTAGCAAATGAGGGACAGAGACTTTGAAGGGATTTTCAGTTATTAAGTGGTAGGAATTGATCTGGCAAGGGCATGGCTACATTACTACAATGTGTTCTGGTAATGGATATTCCCATTCATGCTACTGAGGCACCTGGATCAGAGAAGTGATTGTAAGCACTGGCAATGTGGGCTAAAATCTTTTGTATGCCATAGAATTCAGATCCTTGAAAAGATGTTTGCTGGCAGCCAAGTGTGCCATCCTTTTTTAATTAAATACCCTGGGAGCTCTCCCATAAGTTGTTTTGGACATAACACAGAGCTGTCAGACACATCTGAAGATCATCAGGCAACTGCTGTGCAAAGAGAAGAATTTAGAGCTGTACTTACTTAGTGTCTGTGGCTGTTTCTGAAGGCTGTGCTGTCTGGGCAGGACTGGGAATTTCTGGGGAAGTAGAAACATTTATGATATATATTTTACCCTTTAGTCTCCTATAGATCAAAGTTTTAACATTGCAGTTGTGATTACTTGCTGCTTATTCAGGACTTATAAAGTAAACTCAGACACAGACAATATGATTTCATCCTTCTATTCAGTTAAAACTGTGCTCACCTTTCCTAGTACCTCTGTGCCTGTATATTGATCAAGCTCCTTCACCTACTGATCTGTAATGTCTTTCAAGTCCTTGTCTGTGAACTGCTCAAAGGCCTTCAATCAGAAATACTTAAGTCCTCACAGAACTAGGCTGCGTGAATGCATCTGTACTGCAGGTCCTGTATTCCAAATGCACCCAGTCTGCTCAGGGTCCTTTTATATTAGACACAAACCCCTAAAAGTGAGCCTTTTAAAAGAAAGAACACTGCTGTGTATAGAACCCCCCAGCAGAAAGCTGTTTTCCAACTGACTATTCAGTTTCACCTGAGTGCATAAATCACATCAGTACCTCCTGTTAGGAGAGAGGGCCCTGAATTCCATCCTGAGATAAGAGAAAGTCTGAACTGGTTTACATACTCTTTTTAAAAGCAGAATTACTGTTCTCGGGCAGCATGCAAAGTTCACAACCAAGTTACTTTTAGGCAGTAGGAGCTGGTTAGTAGAATTAACCCCATCAACTCACCTGGGAAGATGAATTGTTGTCTGTGCTGAATGTAGTAGGCAGCTTTTGGATTAATTGTTCAAAAAAAAAAAAAAAAAACAGCAAATAAAAAATACCAGGAGAAAAAAACAACACAAACAAGTTAGAGGATCATCAGAGAGTGCTCCAAATGCATTCCACGAATTAGTCCCAGCTCAGGGCTGGGAAACAGATTAGTAGATTATCAGCCTGCTTGAGGGGGTGAATTCCAGCACATGCATTTTGGGAAGACTACAACAGATGACGCTTGTCAAATGAGAGCTAATAAGCAAACAGTCTGGTGGGGAAACAACACATTCAGACTTCAAGTGGCAGAGGCAAGTTGAGGGACCCAGGGATGCTAAAGGCTGGTGCTTTGATGCCCTCTCCTGTCTTCAGCTTTTCAGAGGTGCACCCAGAGCAGCTGAAGCTCTTGAGCCATCTGCAAACAGCTCTCTGCATTTCAGTGAATTAGAGCAGAATGTCCCAATAGAAAGTAGTTGCAGTAGGATCCTTGTACTAAACTGGCTCCGCTTTTGCTCCTTCTGACTAAGCAAAAATAGCATCTTCCACTCACACATCAAAAGCCTGACACAAGATACAGCAGTGCTGAAGGCTAGACGGAGCAGTTACAAAGTCACATGCTGCTCAATTTCCAGATCAAAGGGATTAAATTTATTCTCATGATGTAAATCTTTGCCATTGTCAAGAGATTCTGGCCTCTATCGACTGTTAAAGACTGCACATTGGGTTCCTCATCTGTAAAGCAGGTAGGGTCAATTCTTCTCCACCATATGTGTATGTCAGTGGTTTAAAATTGAGTGCTTGTTGCTGGTTATCTTTTGGAAGGGACTGGTAAAGTAATTCACTCAGGTTCTCATCTGTATGTTTTGCTCTAGCAATCAATTTAGGATTTAAAGCCTCTGGTGATCAGCACAGCAGGCAGCATGCATTTCACAGCATAGTGAGAGAAGAGAGGAGAAAGAATACAATAGGGTTTTTTTAGTCCTTTTCAAAAAAGGAGGAAATCAAATAATATAAGAAAGCTGCAAACATTCCTCAATAACCTATCTCCTGCAAAGGTATCTTGTTGGTACCACTTACAAACTTGTAAGAATAGACATTTTCTTTTATCAGGTAACAAAATACACCTTCACACCTTGCTTAAGACACTACCATGTATTCAGAAACCTGCCACTGCCTATGAAGTCTTATCAATCTCTGCTTATATAGAGACCCTTCTAATCTTGGTAGGGGTCTCCTGAAAAGATATGTTTACCTGGGAAGTTAAAGCGTCCATCCCTGTGGCCCATAGGAGAGGGGTTTGGGGGAGGTGTTGCGCTGGGAGGGTTGGAAGACTGGAATGGGGCTGGAGAAGAGGGTGTGGATGAGGTTGTAGAAGAAGGATTACTGCTGGAGTCCAGATGGTTTATTGCTGGTGGATGCTCCTGTAAAGTAAAGGAAGTCACTCATGAGGAGACATTAAAAAGAAAGAAAGAAAGACAGAATTGCCCTCAGTGTCTACTGAACATCAGGGAAAGGAAAGCTGTCCCAGCCTCAGGCACAGCAGTTTTATTACAGACACCAGACACACTGCAGTCACCATGTACCTTCTTAGTTAGTGCTTTGGGAAGAGTTCCAAATTGTGGTTCTGTTGGCCTGTCTACTGGATTATTGATATCAGAAGGGACAGACTCTGTTCTTCTTATTTTTGCTACTGAAAAACAGGTGGGAGAAGGAAGGAAAAAAGCTTTAATCAGACTTTTTAATTCTTGTGATACCATCAATTACATTGAAATGCTAAGAACTTGCAGAAAAATACTTACTGGGAAGGAAGGAGATTCTACAAGCAGGTGCCTCTTTAGTACATTTGTTGTGACATTTTAATCTGAAAGAGACACATTACATGTTAAATAGCAACTTGTTCTTTCCCCAGAAGAGGAAGCCTACCCTTAATTTCTAATTCTTATGCTAATCTCAGAGGGAGTTCTGGAATGCTCCGGGCCCCAGAGGAGCATGCATTTATATGAGGAATCCTATAATGTGTGTCATTAGGGTAATGAAAGCCATATACATATCTTAGCATCTGATTTATTTTTAATGCAGTTACCTTCACTGACAGTCATCCAGCTACAGTCAAGCACTAAATCTCAGTGCTCTGGACTAACATCCCAGAGAGAGAACTAAAATCCTCACTGTTATTTAGATATCCAGCTCCCAGTGCAAGATTTGCTCATGATCAGGTAGGAAGCCTGTGGCAAGGAACTGCATTTAGTTCATCCATGTGTCAGGCTTCCAGCCCAAAGTGTAAGTTGTGCCAGAGCCTCCCTTTGCCAGTTAAGAAGCTCACAGAAAAAACAATGCCACTGTTAAGGGTGCAGCACATCAAGGGACATGTGTTACTGGCAAATTTTAATGAATCACATGCAAAGTTCTTCTGAAGATGATTGCTGTGTGCTCACCTGCAGTACTTACACTTCACCCCGAACATCATGCTCTTCTGACAGACTTGGCAAATCTGAGATAACCAAGACTTTGTAGAGAACCTAAATAGAGACAAGAGGGGAAAAATGATGTTAACTCATGCTGAAAGGAAAATTAACCTTTGTAGGTAGTAAAAGACAGGCTGGACTGCTTTAGAAATGAAGCTGAAGTGCATACTTAAGGCTGAAGTTGACAAATGAGGCAACTTCAAACTTCTCCCTCTCCTGCAGCCTGTTGCTTACCTGTGTGTTACAGCTAAGCCAAAGTCTCTTCGTACCGTTTGAGGGGATCCTTGGGAGAGCTCTGGTGGAGAACAAAAGGATGGTTAGGGAAGCATCACTCACAAGTGTGCTTACCAGTCTAGACAGAAACAAAGCGATCGCTGTCATAGATAAGGACCTGTAGCCACAACACAGCACAGCTGAGATCGCTTTGCCTTCTGCTGCAAAGCTACTACCAGATTCTACTCTGGTATTTGGCAATGTAAGATCAGATTTGGTTGTGGAATCATAATTATTCTTTCTTTTTTTTTTTTGGTTAAATCATTATGTTTTACATGTAGGGATTACAGAGTCCATCTGATTAGATCTAGCCCATTCTTAAAGTGGAAAGTCAGGTTTTATTCCCCATTGGTTTACCACAGATACCATCACCCAGCTCTCATGCAGTGTCAGTACACTTCACAATATTCTTTTACACTCCATTTTATAGACAGGGCCAGTGTGACCCAGAAGAATAAGCAGATTTCTGTGAGATCACTCTGGCAGCTAGAAGTGCAGACCTTGGAATGCCAGCTCAGCACTGCAGCAGTTACACCATGTCACTTCCTAAACACCCCCCCCCCCCCAATATTTAGATTCTGGCATCTTTTCTGAATTGGATCTACAGCCGTGTTGCAAATCTGGAGGAAACTCAAGTCTGCAAGCATCAACACAGCTTCAAGGCTGGACACTGTCAATGCTTACAAAAAGCCAGTCTCTTTATTTGACCCTAGATGGCACTAGATTCTTTCTTATCGTTATTCCAGTAAACTTTTAAAGGCATCTGTGGCCTTCAGCATCCTAGAATAGGCTGGAAGTTGCTTTTCTAAGGAATATCTAGTGTGGCCATCCAACTGCAGAGTCATCTGAATTAATTATAATACACCAGTTAAGATGGCTAAATCCAAGAGGTGCATATCTCTCTACATTAGCTTCCAAGGTTACAGGTTGTGCCTGAGATGGACACACATGGTCAAATCAGGTTAGCTAAAGCACTAAATGGCATTTATATGTCACTGGATAAAACCACAAAACCACTAAACTATTAAACACATGAACAGACTCATCAGCATCAGGGGAGCATCCCACATTTAAGCACATGCTGAAGTGTTTCTCAGAAGGTTGCACATAACTGTCTAATTTCATTACAGAGATACTTGGCAATGAATATACAGAGATACCAAATAGTTTGGTCTGAAGTTATTTCTAGTACCAAGAGGCATCGATAACAGCTGTCCCAAGTCACAGACAGGCATCTACACCCAAACCCCTTGCTTTAGCCCTTTAAACATCAGTATTCCTTTTTCTTGCTCTTGTAATCCAAAGAGATACCAAGTACAGAAAAGACCATGTGAATATCCTGCAGATCTCCAGTAGGCCAAGCTCCTGCTAGAGTTAATAGCAGCTCTGGGACAAAAGGCCCTGTTGAGGACCTTCAGCAGCTGCACGGTGATGATCACAGAGAGCTGACAGGACAGGGTCTTCTCTCTCACAATGAAATGAAGACAGCCCTGTAAAAATCTCTTACCAAACCTAGAGAGAAAAAATACAGATTTATTAGACATTGACACTGATGTGACAGGATACACACTTTGCTGGAGCAGAAACTCTTTCCTGCAGCTTTTAATGTTGGGTTTACAAAGATCTGTGATTTTGGCTCCTGAAGTTGCTGCATAGCCAGTGTTTTCCTGCCTACAAGGGGCAGTGTTTGCTGGGCAGAGCTCCAGCCTGTGAGGGCAGTGTAAAGAGCACACCTGAATTGTGTCTTGCAGATGAGAATGTAATTTGGGCAAAAGGGGCCTGAGTGGAACAGGCTCTGTGAACTCTTTCAGGTGGTCAAAGAGTTAGTGTAAATTGTAACACTCCAGTGCCTGCTGCAGAATTTGGATGCTGACCTAAGTCTCTGATGTTTTGGGGTGGGCAGAGTCTCTGGAAGGTACGTAGCTTTCCCTGCTTCAACCAGTTGTTATATGTTAGATTAATACACTCCATCCTACCTACACAAAAAAAGTGTATCTTAAAGCCTGGCTCAGTCCATAAAATGGTGCTGCCTTAGACCATTTGCCTTGCTATGGAGCTATAACAATGTCATAAATGTGTTTGAAAGCTCACACTAGCAGCTAAGATACACCTTAAGATAAAAACATAAAAGGATACCAGCCACTGATACCTGAACTGTGAGGAACATTTAAAGACGGAAGAGAATTCTAGTACCTGGAATTGGCTATTAGATGCTTCAGGAAAACTGGTTAGGGCCCTTAAATAGCAGCAGCCACCCCAACCTCCCCAGCAGGTGCAATTTCAAATGAATTCAAATAAACACCATGAACAAGCAGGTTTCGTGGTTATCTTAGAATATCCCACTGATACAGGTTCCCAGACTACAGTGAAACCATGACAAGGCAACTCTTTCAGAGAGTCAGAACTGGAGCCCTGAATGCCCTTTGGTATAACACACCCACCAGTGCCTGTGGGGAAGGAGGAAGTATCATGCTTACTTTATTGGAGGAACTTCATCTATCCTGTTCCCCAACTGGGATTCGTGGGACTTGCTCCTTGTGAGGGTTGGGAAGTTAGGTAGCAGCTGAAAAACCTTCCTGCACGGGAGAGGAGGAGTCCGTGGGGGCTTCAACTTGTGCCGCCGCTTGGTTTGAGGAGTGGTTGGAGGGGTGATGGTGATGCTGTGAGGAGTCCTTGGCGTTAACCTTCCACTGTGTGTGGGGAATGCAAAAGGGTCCAGGAGGTTTTCTGCATAGATAGAAGGTCCATGACTGGAGGCAAGAGAGTCTGAAGCTGGGATTGTAGAGACTGACACAGAGCGTGGCTGCTGGCTGTTGCCCTTGGGAGGGTGCAGTGCAGAGGGGGTCCATGTGGGCGCAGCGGGGCCGGGGGACTCGGTGGTGCTGGTGGAGCTGTTCTCTCGGCGCGCCTCAGAGAGGTTCATCAGCACATCATCCCTGAGCTCCCCGCCTGCTCACCAACCACAGCAGTGTTAGTGACTGCTTAGAAAGAAAAGCCAACCTATACACACATACCATGTCTTGCTGCTTTGGGCTATAAGGTGGTTTTTTCCCTCCACTGTGTTGTACCCAGCCAAGGTGGCAGCTTAATTTCTCCTTTCCTGACACCCATCAGGTCCATTAGCCTTTAAAACAGGAACAGCAGCCACTACGCTTCTTTCCAATCTGTAGTTGTGTATCTCAAAGGCTAAAATCAGGTTCTGTGTTCTAAGATGGGGTGAGTTTTAACAGACTGGGCCTATTGAAGCATTTGGGATATACATACCTTCATGAAACAGGCACCCACATCCCACTGCAAACCTGTGTGGATTTGGTACTAATCTGTGTAGACAATTGAGTACCCTTTCTGCTTTTAGACTGGTCTTTGGTAAAGAGAGGACACTATTTTCTATTAGCTGACAGAAGTGTTAAATACCACTTAAACTGAGAAAGACCATTAGATTGGAAATAAGGAGCATGTAGGAGCTCCTCATACTCATTGAGCCACTTCTCTCTCCCTTTGCCATGGCCCATACTGCCTCCTGCACTGCCTAGCACTGTAGTTCTGAACACCCCAGCACAACTTGTAGATCAATTGTGAGAATAAATGAGGAAAAAAAGGCTTGCAGGCAGCAAAGTGGGAATGCACAGACTATTGGGATAATTTCAGAGGCTTAACATCAGGATAACTCTCTATCCCTAATGACTTAAACCAAGGTGAAAAAGCTTCAGGGCCTGATGTCCTGTTGTCCAGTCAGTGGCTGTAAAGAGATCAGATACCTGGAACTGAAAAACTACCTCTTCTTTATGAGGAGTAAATGCCATGACCTCTGAGCACAGCTGGTTTTGCCACAGTATGGATGGGAAAGATTTAACAAGCCAGGACAGAAAAGATTAGAAAAAAGGAAATCTGAAACTGGGCTGTTTGCTGACTTTTCCATTAACTAATCTTTCTGATTTGCAAATGGGATGAACTGTCATAATACCAACAGGAAACACCAGCTTGCAGTGACAGACTGGTAATCGCTATGGAGAAAGACGTGATGCACATTAGTACCAGTGAGCTGTGAGAAACTCGCTGTACAAACAGATTTTACAATGCCTTTGAACATAGCCTGGGGAAGGTGACAGGGAAGATGGTGATGCAGCACCCTGGGAATCTTGAGCCTGACTGATCTTAAATAAGTTTGTCAGATCCACTTGCCTGCTGAACATGTGCATTTCTGATTACACAGTACCCTGCTTCCCATAATTTCAAGGTAAATCAGGATTCTCTCTAGCTCTTGAATCTGCAATTGGAATTTGGCTAACAATTCTATCAATTCTAGCAGCCAAAGAACAATAGCAGGAGGCAAGGGGATTTAAAGAGAAGTGAATCAACTTGCACACTATACACTACACAGTAACAAAGGGTTGTCGGAGCAATGTTGTTCTCTTCCAGAGCATTGAGCTGAACAGTACTCAGGCTTCTTAGCAAAGTAATATCAAACAGAATTACACCTTCCCTCTGAGCTGGCCATATCTGGGGAGGGAATTACCTACAAGAAATCTGGTTGTATTTGTTAGGTCAAGGATATGAATGATGGAGGATTAACTGGAGCATTAGACACAACTCTGAACAGAGAGGGGATAAGGATATAGTCTGTGGAGTAGGAGAGGGTATTTCTACATAGTTATTTTCATTTAGTTATTTATTTGACATGCTGTCAAAATCAAATCAAATCCACAGCTCTAGATGAGTTTGATCACTGCAACTTCATGTACATCCAAGAGCCTGGTTACAGTATATGCCCAGAGACATTTTCTAGAGGACTTTGCAGATTGTCTCATACCAAAGGAAGCAGGAGGGGGCCGGGTTGCTGAAGAGCTAATGCCACAGCACAAGGCAGGCTGTACCTGATTCAGTCGCCTTCCGTAAGCAGCTCAGTGCCCCATTGAGCCGGGAGCATTCCTCATCTCTGGCACCACATCTCTTCATTGTTTCTTTCACCTTTGACTCATTCATTTCTAGTAAGGCATCTAAGGTCAGCTCCTCTGGTATCCTCTGCAGAAAACAAGATGATGCATTTATATATATATTTTTAATACACATATATAAGGCTGTCACATGTTGTTCTGATATACTTTAAATAGTGCCACTGTCTCACTGCCTGGTCTGACTCATGGTTTACTCATTTTGGTAGTGTATCTCTTGAGGATCACTGGGTCGGTGAGATCTCAGCAGTGCTCAGCTCCCTCTCCCCTCTGCATCACAAGAGACCAAGAGTTTGCTGAAGCCTCCTTTGTACCACTAGGGTGTTGTGGTCATTCTCTGGTGTTTCAGTTAGGATTGGGGCGATGGAAATGTTCTTCTCCCCTTGTGGAAAGTCTTCCGTCAGTATTTGTGAAAGCGTAACTTTTAAATTGAAAGTAGTAGTCAGAAACAAAACAGGCCTAAAACCTGAAAAAAAATGTCAGATAAAGATGTTTGGCTTTTCCGTGGGGAAGTGACAAGTAAAAGCAGTGAGGAAAATGACTTCTTTTGTTCAACAAAATGAAATGTTTTGACAAAGAGATAGTGACCTCCTCCTCAAGCAATGTTTCCTTCATTAGAGAACCAGCCTTACCCGTATCTTGCTCGGAAAGATATTTGTGCAGAACTCCCTGTACATCTTAATACACCAAAGCCCCCACAGTGATAAGGTGTAGATCAGGCAGACACAAAAGACACAAGAGACTGGAAAGCATGAAATGATGTGGTATTTCCTGACACAGAACCGAGCTGTGTCACCTCCCTCCTCCCCCATTCAAAGGTTTCCAGTGTAAGGCTGCAGCAATTGTGGTTAATAAACAAAACCAGGATATTTAACCCAGATACCCAGGAATTTCCCTGAAAGTTTTGCCTAAACAAACCTCCCTGCTCCCAGTGAGATCACAAATTTCACAAGATTTGGCCTCTTTCCTAAAGTTTCAACTCCTGGAATCAAACCCTATTTAAAAGGGTTTTAACGTTCATTTGAAGGGGAAGCTCAAAAGTGTGTCTCACTGTCTGGAGAAACAAAAAGCTTGAAATCCTCCAGATTCTCAAACCCCGCTTCCGACAGCAAATCAAGTCTGAATGTTGTTGACTGTCCTTTAACAATTGCATCTTTCTTAATCCAGGCTCATGCCTTTGAGGTCTGACGCATGACTTTTGACTTTAACTATGACAGTGCTAGAACAGCCCCAACCTTGGGAGCTTTGTAGGTGGTAACACAAAGAGGAATCACACAGTTTCCATTTTTAGTAACTGTTGCATGGAGCAGAGAAAAAAGAGTAACTTAAGAAAGGGCAGAAGCCTGAGAAACGCATCCTGCATCTTCTGTCACATGCCTGAACCAGATGAAACACAACACAGCTGACGTGAGGAGAAGCCAGGAATTTCAATGAGCCATAAGCACAAAGCACGGCCACAGCAGGGCTGGAGTTCAGTGAAGTTTGGGTATATTTGCTTGTTCTATAATTAGTATTAGCAGAATAAAAGCACAGATACCCCAGCTGATGCTGGATATCATTATTTCAGTTCTCTGTACGCCCTCACCACCAAGATGCAGCAGTAAAACTTGCCCCCAAAAGCTTCTTCCTGAATGACTTCCACTTGGATAAAATGCAGGAAGCACAGAGACTCCAGTGAAAACACAGTGCAAAATCTGCCCTCCTGGGATCCCTAACCTGATATTACACTCCAAAGGACAAAAACCCCCAGGGGTTCAGATCATCTGACTTGAAACTGGAATGGGTTTCCATGACTCAAATATTCCAGCACCAAGCCAGTACCGGTTTGCTCACACAGAGCCCCAGCCAAGCTGGGCTGATAACAGCAGAGTTAATGCAATCCTTGCAGTTAGCTGCTTCCCCAGCTCCCCCTGAATTCCTCTCCCCAGCTGACAGAGGCATCTTTGTTCTGTGGTATCACAAGGGCGGTTCAATGCAGGGCATCCCCAGCAGCTGTAAAAGGGACAGTGACGGGGGGCAAACATGAAGCAAGATTTTGTTTAATACAGTAAGAAAGTTTTGTACAGGACCATGGGTGCCCTGTGCTCTGGAGCAGGGGAGTAAATTTTTCCCTAGGAAGCACCAGGGAAAGCCAATGTCTCTTACAAAAACATTTATCCCATTTTATGCTTTTACACGGTCCTGGAGTAAGTGGGATTACAGCAATGTCCTTGAATTATCCCAAAACACTTCCTCACCCCCGCTAAGGAAACAGCCCAGATGATGTAGGCACTGTGTTCATACCATCATTGCAGATCTCAGTGCAAGCTACCCAGTCACGTTACCCTGCATCACCTCCCCTCCCCATCCCTCGCATGACACACGTGTAACCAGTAACTTATTAGAACTATTAGTAAGTCATTCAGTGAAGTGGAGGAGGCAAAGCTTTCCCACCACAGGCAGGTCTATTGCTCAACAGTTTAATTTTAGCAAGACAGAACAGCAAGTTGTAGGAAAGTATAAGTACAGAAAAGGAGATTATATTTAAACAATCCCAGTGACCTTGAGCTGGGCAAGCTCAGACTTTGTGAACCTGCTGCCAGCCCCCCCATGACACGCGACAAAAGAAATAAGCCTTTGAAGAGGGGGGAGGGAGGGGAAGTAAGAGGCTTTCTTTAAACAGCCACTCATGTGCTGCACATATGTGGTGGCTTAATATAAAACTGGTCAACCTGATCCCTGCAAGATTGGCCTGATATGCTCTAGCTCTGTGTTAGCCCCTCGGCCAACGTGATAATGTGATGATCACTAGTTCAAGGCGGCTCCTCAAAAAGGTTCTGCCGATGCTGATGCTCCAGCTCAGCTGTTGAGGGGATGAATGTCCCCTTCAAAGCACCACAACAGGGTCCATCTTGGAGGAGCATGTGGTTGGCTCCAAGCCCCCAGTGCAAATTGAATTCTGGGCCCTTGCAGAGGGGGGCTACTCCCCATCTTCAGCACTGAGGATGAGAAATGTGGGTCCAACAGATTCCTCTCTACCTGCTTCTTCATGGGTGCTTTGGCTTACAAAAAATGCAGCTTAAAGGCCTGCATTAGGGCCAAGACAAGCACCACCTCCCTAGGCATGCCTCACCTTGACTGCAGAGTGACAGGTGAAGCTGCAAGATACTCAGATACTACTCTAATAATTAGGTCAGACTAAAAAAGGAACAAAGAAAAAGCAGGAGGGACAGAACCTGCTTTCAGTCCTTCAGCACCTCGAAACTGCCAGCAAAAGCTAAAGCCTTACTCACCACACATTGCTCAGCAGAGGTGATGCTAGAAAGCTCAAGCCAGGAAATTACTCCTCTTTGTAACAGGTAAGAGGACTTTTCTACAAAGCCCTCCTGCTTATCAGACATACAGACAGTGCACGTCATGTTACACGTGTTTGAAAGAGACAAAAGTAAATCACAGGGTATGCAAGAAGCCATCCAAAGGTTAGCCTCAATTAGTCAGGGTGAGGAGTTCACATGAGTCTTTAATCTTGTCTGGTGTCCAACTTAAATCCCTGAAACATGGCAAAAATGCTGGTATCTACCTCAGTGGATGGGTTATTTTTGCTAAAGATTCCACCCTGCAGATAAGCCCCCAGATCTAATACTGCTGCTCACAGCCTGCAGCATCAACCTGACCTGCTCCTTGGCCTGGCAGACACAGCTCTTCCTCTGAAGCTGGGTAGTTGTCAAGGCCCCAAATGCCTCCTCTTAAATCAATACACTCCCTCCCAGTCATCCCCCTGTAAGGCAGCAGATGCTAGAAGAGAAAGCCCATTACATAAAGTGCTTAAATTCCCACTGATAGCTCTAAGCAAAGCATGTAAGGATGCTCTTAAGAACATCTTGTGCCTGCTAGTTGTTATTTTGCTCTAGTTTTCTGGTGGTGTAGAGAAAGTACTGAAACGTTGTTGTGCTATTTCTGGAGATCTAGTGGGCACTCTGGAAAGTCTCTCTCATGGAATTTCTAGCTTGCATTAAGCTGTGAGCATCCACAGGCTATGGTTTCACGCAATCTCTCCCTTCTCACTGTTCCACCTCTCACCCAATGGGTGGTGGAGAGGAGGTGACAGTTGCAGGGCATTCCTGTCTGGTTTGTTCTTTGTGGCCAGGAGAGCTGCTGTCACTACTGCTCTGTAGGAAGGCAGATGTAGAGGTTGCAGTATTTCAATGCAGATCCTGAGGGGTACCATGAGCCTCATACTGACCTCAAGCCATGAGTAATTCACAGTGACAAGGCTTTGAGGGGCAGTTGGACCCCTTGGCAAGGAAGGGAACCCTGGCAGTGGAGAGAATATTTTCCAAGAGCTGTTTATGCTGGGGAGGGGCCTTCAGCTGGAACATAGTGATGGAGTTTTGGATCCAGGAAGCCTGCAGGACACAGTTAATTTGCATACACACAATTAGCACATTCAGGGTCCCTCCTATCTGGCAGTCCAGCCAGAGCCTCTGCTGCCATGCCCATGGAAATCCCCCCAAACAGCCAAAGTCCTCATGGTCTGTTCACGCAGATATGCTGACAGAGAAAGATGAGAGGATACAGCTGTGGAAACCTGATAGGCTCAGGCAGATCTGCCTCTCCTACTCCCCCCACCAAAGTAAGGATGCACACACATAAAGCCCATGCTCTTCCTCCATCAATTATCAACTAGATCATAGTCCGTGCAAGTTCAGCCATCTGCCATGGTCTCTCAGTGTCAACCCATGCCTGTGTCTTTGGCATAAACACTAAATGGGGAACAAGACAAGTCTCCCAAGCAAACAGGAGGTATTACAAATAAACATATACATGAGGAGCCAAATATATTCCCCAAGTGGAAAAGCCATAACCCAGTGCTGTTCCATCTGCCCCAGCAGTCTCCCTGGTGGCACAGTTCTGCTTAGAGCCAGCAAGCCCTGGGGCAGGATCTGCCCCTCCCCGTGCATGGCAGTTATCTACTCTAAAAACAGCTTTCCAAACTTGATTGACTGGAACCCCTGCTACACAGGGAGTAGGGCTGGTTCAGGCATGTTTCAGAAGATGATAAGGAGATGATTATGCTCTCATGCTATTTTTTAAGACGGTGACAAGTTGTATGTGGGAACAAATAGAATAGTTAAGTTTCTGGGAAGAACAACAGTAAAGGCAGTGAGGACTTTTTTCTGTGCTGAACAAAGTAAGCCAATAGAGATTTTTAATCTCTCTGTTTTGGTAGCCATGCCCCAAGCCCAGAACCAAGTACCTCTGCAAGAGGCTTCTTCCATCAGCCTAAGAGTAGGGATAGCACTCTGTTCACATCCTCTTTCCCTCCCTTCCCATCTCGGTTCCTGACTCCAGCTCTTAATGGGAGCAGGACAATCCAGATCAGTATATTATTCTAGGTCCCTTTTCAGAGCAACTTCCACTAACTGGAGACAACTACATAGCTTAAATGTATCTTCTGTCTATGGTTCTTCTGTTCCTTGCCATCTTTTCTAGTTCTTAGTTCAAGTATCTCTTTTCCCAGTTTCAGTCCACTGTATTTAATCATTTATGCATCATTCTCAGTAGTAAAGCACATGCGCACAGCACTAATCAATCTCTAGGACTCCCAGTCAAAACCAAGAGCATTTCCTAGAAAAATACTTAGGAAGACAGCTCCAGAACAGCCTTAGCCAAGCTCCACAGCAGAGCCTGCTCCACACCAGCCACCATTTCTATGATAAATATCTGTCTGGCAACTGATGAGAGGAACAATAACAAAGAAACAGAAATAGCACAGGTTGGGGTGGGGGTTCGACGTTTCCTCACCCCTCAGAGCTGTGTGTTCCCAGAGAGCAAACAGCATCACCTGAAGGAGCTTTAATAGGTTAGATTGAAGCTTGTATTCACCACCTACCTCCAAGTCTGCTAGGTCCACACAGAGCAGCCCTTTCACCCTGCGCAGCATGACTGGCTCGCTGTTATCCACCTTCACCGGAGCTTTAGCTGTTGCCCAACGCCACAAACAGTGCATTGTTATTACTCTAATCTCTCGCAGAACTAAAGGATTTTACAAGCAGTCATTATTCTTGTTTTAAATATAGGTTTTCAGAGAAAGAAAGGAGCCCGACAAGACGACAGCAATTATAACAGCAAGAGCTTTCAAGCTTCACAATGTCTAGAGCGAATCACTGAGCAAAAATAGTCCTCACTCTGGACTAGAGGAGTCAGCAGATATTCTAAATTAGAGCTGGTTCTCTATTTCTGACAGGAGAGCCTGGGAGCTTCTGTGCTTCCCTGCGTGGCAGCTTTATTTGGGAGAGGACTGGGGGGAGAGAGGGGAGGGGGAGAAAGAGAGAAAAAGAGCATTGTTTCTCTAGCTGAGCTAAAAGGCTGCTTGCAATTAGGCTGGTTTTCAAAGGTGTTATGTCACAGATTAGCACAATCTTGAAATACTCTCTCCAGCAACACTTGAAAAGTAAAGGGATTCAGAGCCATTTAAAAAGGCAAAACCCCATGAACTCAGGCCTTTCTCCCCACTGCCCCTGACAGGCAGTGGGCCCAGGAGAGCACCTCCTGCATCCTACCTGCTTTTCTATTCAGATCTCAGAGGTGGCCAGGCAAGGGCTCTGCTGTAGCTGGGCTCTGAGACCCTACAGGTACCAGGCAACTTCTCCAACTAGTTTCAGAGCCTAAAAGTCTCAAAAAGAGAGGGCTGTGTGCCTAATATTTTTATATTAGGCACATTACAACAATACCTTAGAGATGAAAAGTCATTCCCTGTTCACCAGCTACAGAACCAGGTATGGAACGTAGGTGTCCCTGTTCTTTATTGTCTGACCTGCCCAGCCATCTCTTTAAGGGCTCCCTATCCCCCTCTCTCCCCAGTCATGTCACAGGCAGTGTGCATAAAGCTAAGGGAAACCATTACATGTTTCTTAATAACTAACCTATTAAAGCTCCTTCTGTCAGTGGTTTCCATCAAAAGCATTCGGCTGAAGTGCAGTTCACGCTGTGTGAAATCTGAGCAACAGCAGGAATGATCCCACGATACCTGTAACAGTTCTGAAAGACAACTCCTCCCAGGCAAACCTCTCCCCTGCACTGTGCTGTCCCTGCCACAAACGCCAACACTGGCTGGACTGTTTTCTAAGCACTGAAATAACAGGATAAAAAAAATCACTGCAAGAGCAAAGCTATTAGTTTATAGCCCAGCTATTTCCCCAGTTACAGCCCGTTCCAACATGTCTACTCAAAAACCATGGAATGACCCAAGGGTGTTGCAGGTCTCCTGTCTACCTCATACACAGGCTACAGGAGCTCTCTGCAGCTGCATGAAATAGGTGCAGAACCATACATTTGGAGTAACAGATGAATTTAACGGCTTTGTTACACCTCTGATGTTTCTGTCCCAGAGAGCAGAAGGAACACCGTTCATTACACTGGTCATTGCCTGGGAGGGGGTAGCAAGTGAGCATGAATAAAAATAATAAACAGCTGGAAAATATTCTCTTCCTGCACAGATCAAAAGTCAATTTGTCACCCTTTTTAATGTCACACACAGGGAAGGGCAGACTCAACCCCCTTTGCTCCGTGAATTAACAGGATGTGGCAGATTTGAACTGTCCACCTCTCCCCCTCCTCCCTCCCCCCTTTCTCTTCACCTCTTCCCTTCCCCCCTGTGCTCTGCAGCATCACAAAGGATTTAAGAAAGAGCTACAAAGACATTCTTTTAGGCTCAGGCAATTGCAGTAACCTTAGAAACCCACAATAGTTGGGAGCCTGGCAGCTTGGCCACAGCAACGGGCAGCTTTGCTGTTCCCTCACTGCCAGTGCCAGCTGCACCTTTCGTGCTACCCAAAACCTGCCTGGGCTGGAGTGTAACATCCAGCAGCACATGCAGAATGAACAGTACTAAAAGGAACAGCTTGGTCCTGAACTCATCCTGTTTCACCATAGTCGGCTTAGTTACACCAGGTCCAAACTGGAATAACTTCCATGAAAAGCTGTGGAATTTTTCACTCAGGCAGATCACTGCTGAAGTCAAAGAAAAATTTTGCTTGTGTAAGGATCAAAGGAAAGGGAGTGGGAACACTGTGGTCTGGCCTGCAGGGCCAAAACTGGGGAAAGAATGGAAAAAGCCTCTTCTGCTTGGTTTAGCCATCAGTGGGCTTAGCTCTACTTATATTGCCATTAATGTTACACTGAAATGATGTGTCCCCAGGGCAGCCATGCCCAGTCCAGGTCCAAGGGATCAATCCGATGTCAGAGCCCTGCAGTCCTGGAGTTCCCAGTAATCCTCTAAACACCACTGGGATTCCAGGCTCCCTTCCAGAAAACCCAGAAGTGTCAGAGACAGGAGCTGGGGCTCAGGCTGATCTCATCATTCCCAATTCCAGCATAAGTGTCAGATTATTCTGTGCCGTAAAGAGGCTTTCAGTGATTTGCATGTTAAGAATTGAATTGTAAAGATCAGAAGGAGCCATGGTCTGTGAGCATGAACAGCTGATGCTGGCCACCACGGGAGGGTTATTCATTCCATTCTTTTACACTGATGCAATGCTCTTTGGTAGAAACTTTACTTGTGTGTGTGTATAAAATTAAAAGACCTCATTTGTTTCTGAGCACAGACTCCCACCCAGCCAAAACCCAGATCAAAATCCCCCTGACCATTACTAGGTTGCAGTAATATTGTAGTCTAAGTGTTGTGTGAGGCTATACAGTTTAAAACCATCATTCTGCAACAAACTTGTAAACTCTAATGCCCTTTGCTGGTCTGTTTTTAGAGGTTTATTTTGGGATCTTTCTAATTTATAATCATGGCATGTATACTTTTAGAAATAAATAGGCTGTAACAACTCATCATTTTTGCCCATTTGTTGGACATGTCAGTGCACAAACTTCTAAGTCTTGGTCCTTTTTTGGCTAATACTCAATGCAGAGTATAGTATGGTACAGGATTATTATTATTTAAGAGGCAGCAAGTGATGAAGTTATGGCATCATCCTCAGACCAGCAGGCAACAGGAGGGAGGGTCCTGGTGAGGACCTTTGGCTCATACTGAGCAATACAGCTGAGGTGTTGCTTCAGTGATATGAGAAGATCCCTCCTAACTCTGGGAGGAGGGCAAAGGGAAGGGAATGTTACAGCATTCCCGCTGGGTGACCAGGAGAGAGGAAGCTTCCTTTCCCTCACATTCCCACCTTGCCTGGAAGTAAGTTCAGGAAACTACCGTAAACCCAGCATGCAGCTGGAATGTCTTGAAAGGGCGGGAAGGGTCTGTGCGGAGCGTTCTTTTCCCCTTACCTGAACAACTTCTTTCCTCACGTTAACAATGTCTAACCAGTCGTGGAATCTGGGGTAGCTGTTGAGCTCTGCTGTCCTGTCATTGAGGGGCACACTCAGCTTACACTGCCGCTGTCTGTGGATGTAGTCAATCAGCTTCACCTGTTGGGATGCAGAGAGGATGCAGTTAGAATGTGCTGTGTCCTCCTGGTGATGTGTGTATGGTACCTAGCAGGAGGGGATGCTGGTTTGGGAGTTTGTCTCTGCCCGCTTGTGAATTCAGACAGTGCCTGTTTGTAGTTTGTAGTTTCAGATTTATTAACAAATGGGTACATACAAAAGTGATTCAAACTCTTCATGCCATGAATACAGAAATGCAAATGCCACGTCCTAGAAGGCTCAGCCATCCCTTTGCACTTACACTCTGACCACCCAGCTGAAACCAGAGGAACCTTTTAACTGTAACTTCCTAACATGGCTTTGGAGCTTAAGACCTAAAAGAAATTACCTTGGAAACCCCACTTGATGGTTCTCAGCCCTAGTACCTGTTTTTGTAAAAAGGGGATGACAGCACTTCCTTTCTCTGCCCTGGCAGGAGAAGTGAGGGGAGCACATTTCTCTTCCTCCTAAAGAATAGGGGATCTTGGCAACCCCTGGGATGGAAGTGAGGTTAACCAGGAATACAGATTGGGAATAGAAGCAACAGGAGTAATGAAGAACTGGTATAAATAGAGGGGGAAGGTCCCCTCTCAAGAGGCAGAAGGAAGAGGTTGCAGGAAGTTTGAGGACTACTCAATAGCCCCCAGTATGCCAGAAGTCAGCTTCCCAGCTGTGCAACAGATATGTCATGGAAAGAAGGAAGACAGAAATCACCTAAGCCTCCTCTTCTTCTGGAGGTCATTCAGTGATATGCACTTTGATATACAAACTGCAACCACAGAATCCAGCCAAAGGCAAACAAGTCAGCTGCACGTTTGTCAGCCGCGGTATGCAGGATTCCCAGGGCACTGTGGTATGTTACTGCCTCTTTCCCTGGGTCACCTCATCCCCATTCCTGAGCATACCTCACGGCTGCTAAGCACTTTGGGAAAGAAGCACGATTGCAGAGTGGTTCTGAAACTGGTACAGCCAGCAAAGGCCCTGACAGGTCTGTGTGTAAAAGTCATGGCTCAGCTCCTCAGTCTGATTGTGATCTGTTACTTCAGTGTAGGGCCTCCCATCAGGCAAGAGCCATATTCCTGAATGAAGGATGAAATATCAGGATACTCTCTAATGCTAGAGCTCCATGCTTAGTTATATGTAACTCTAATTTTATGCCAATGCCTTAAAAGTAGCACATGACCCAGTACAAAGCAGGGAACTGAAAGCACTGACAGTGGCAAGAAGAGGTGTGGGAATCTGTTCCAAAACCCACAGTGGAAAGCAAGAAGCACTTAGCAGCTATTTATAAGTGGAAAATCACAAATTAAGTAAAAGAGATTATACAAAACTGTATGCCCCACATACACACATGCAGTATCATAAGGACAGCATGCTGCTTTGAGGAAGGATATTCCTGAGGTACAGCCACGATTCTTGCATTCCCCACTAAAGTTCTCCTCACCCATTCAAATGTAACCCCAGAGCATCACATTTAATGGGTAAGAGAACGGGCCTGGGCTGCAGGGAGCTGGACTTCACTCCCAGCTCTGCCACTGACCTGCTGGCTGACCATGAGCACAGTAACTAACGTGCCTCCTCCTCCCCACCCTGCCCATGGCTCTCCGGCTCCTACTGCACCAGCTCCCTGGAGCACGTGTCATCCTGAACTCCTTTTGTGCTGCTCAAGAAAACATGGTCAAGTATTTTCACTTGACAAGTCCTATCCGTAGCATAATCTCCTAGAAGGATACTGCTGGAAGGCTCTCTGTGCAGCACAGATTTCAGTGTCAAACTTCTCATCATTGTTGGGACATAACAGAAGGGGAAAGCAGGCTGACAACACAAGCCTGAGGATCTCGGATCACCAAGTCCCGTTTTCCCATGGTAACTCCTTCACATTTACTCTTCAAGTCCAAATTTGTTGTCTATAAATAGTGTATGTGAATTCTCTCCCACCCTCCTCGCACCACGCTTCTCCCCTAGGATGAGTTTAATTTTGTTATTTCCTGCCCAGACTTTAACTAAACTACAGGGTTCAGCTTTAATGGCTGAGCTCTTGCAAAACCCTTTTCTGAGAATATAATAAAAATTCTGGGTTCAGTGACGCACATAAAAAGCCACAAACAACATGCAGGTCTCCAACCACAACCTAGACAGAGCGATAAAGCCAATAGTAAGCTACTCACTGCCTGCCTGCCAAACGGCACATCCTACTCATCACAAATGGCAAACCCCACAACAGAAGCGGCAATACTCCAGCTGCCTCAAACCCACAGAGATGGGAAAGAGCAAGAGCAGAGACAGGATATGGAGCAGCTGGAGTACGTGGCTGCTCGCAGGGTGTGCTCCAGCAGAGCCCTCCTCCTCTCACTCTGCTGTAGCTGATGGCCAGGACACCCCGTTCATGTTTGCTCCAAGAACTGCACATGCTGCGAGGTCTGCTCCTGGGTGCACGCTGATCTCCTCCTACTCCACTCCTAAAATGAATGTCCCTTCACAGCCTGTGTGAGAATCAGGCCCAAGATGTTTAGGAAAAAGCTGCCAAGCTTGTACTTTTTTATTTATTTATACAAACTAAACAGCAGATCTCTTGAGATACAAGTGTGCCCATTTCCAGGACCTTAAGCCAATGGTTGGGAGTTTAAATGGTGATGAACAAAAGCCAAATACACACAAGTTCTTCAGTTCACTTCTGCAGGCATGGCACAAGAAAGCAATGGCATCTGTGAAACCACTGGCACTGGGGTGCAGAATTCAAGAGCCCTTGCCAAGCAAGGAGATACGAGCTGGAAGAATTCAGTATTCCAGCTGGAGCCCAAAAATTACTGACCTCTGGTTCATTGATCAAAATCACATCCTGACTCTGTCAGGGAATGTTAACAGTGGTGGTCCCTAACCAGAGAAACTGTTTCACACGTTTGGGGGTCAAGCTTCTTGTCAATTGTGGTTTATTCGTGTTTAGAAAAGTGGCATCTTATTCCAGCAGGCACTGAAGGGGAAGCACATTAAACCTGCTGCAGCTTTTGCACTTGGCCCAAACCCAATCGGTCTGAATTCAATGCAACTCATCCAAATAATCTGGGAGGAAGAAACAGAGGATAGAAGAGCGCATTTTTCTGAAGTCTTGACTAGCTTTTCACATGCTTTCAATCCACATATCTTGGAATACCCTATAAATGCAGAAAGAAGAATTCTTTTCAGTTCACAAAAAAAGGAAACCGAGGCACAGAATGGGAATTATACATTAGGCATCTTGTGGGCAGCCAGAGGGTTTCTCCCTTACCAATGTGCAAGCCCAGATTTCTTCGGAACATCAAGAGTTTGAGCCCAACTTTGTTTCAGTCACACATTTCACAACCAAATGCCATGTTTTCACACTTTCACAAATGGTTCTGCTCGCTGGTGCCTACAGCTTTTCTCGATGACTTGAAACATATGCAATGTTTAGAAGAGGGGGTTTCACAATACCTAAACCAAACAATTGTCATTTAATCAACGAATCAAGCACTTGTTCAAAAGCAGATCATATTTCTCCTGTCCCAGGAGATGAAATCTCATGGAGTCTGAAAGCACTTGAAAAGACAATAAATATGAGCTCACACCAGTGCTCCCGATCCTACAGCCACTCACTGCCCTGCAATTTAACAAGCTGGCAGCTGAAGCTTTAAAAGGATCAGATCAATGCATGACCCAGCTCTTACATGTGGCCAAGAAAAATGCAAATCATCTATCTTCCTCCAGACAGGAATTAATCAGGAAGGAACTCCTCTATTAACCTCCTGCCAGGAACAGGCCCAGAGGGCAAGGGTGCACTCCCCGAAGCACCAGCAGTAGCTGCTGTGGGTGCAGGACACTGCATCAGGAGGTTCTGCCCTTCTGCATCCTGAACCAGAGACAAAACTTCTGAACTCAGAGCATGTCTGCATGGGACACTGGGGAAAGGAAGATGAGTCACTGTAAGGCATCCAGTGAAAGTGGATTCACTTCACACCTTTAGCTGACTCTTATCTATTTTCCCCAGTGCTGTTATATAGAGAAACCCTAAGCCAGGCAAGAAAAAAACCTTGAGCAACCTGAGCACTGAAGAGAACATAAAAAGGTCAGAATCTGACTTGCCAAATTTGTCTCTGAAATCATGCTCAGCAACCATGTGAGAATATGATAAAGATCTCAGCAGCATCAGGAGCCTGGCAGCGGTGCGGGTGTGCTTCAGGACACCTTTGTCCAAGTCAGCGGAGTTAAAAAGGCAGAGAGGTGCAGCTGAATTGATCCATGCAAAGGGAAGAACCACTGTTTCATTTCAGACCTTCTTCCTTGGGTTTGGAAAAGATGATCATAACAGAGCTAATAAGTCATCTGGATACCACAGCAACAGGGTGGGAATACCCAATCTATGGAAAGTAGCAAACACCAAAGCAGCAGAAGTGCTGGTCAGGATGCTGCATTTAGGGCCGAAGCGCAGTGATACCAGGTGTGTCCAAACTCAAACGTGTCTGCAGCTCCTGCACCACACAACCCAACACTGAACTGCTCCTTTTGTGAACTTAAGCTTCTAGCAGCTGATTCATGTGAATGCCTCCTGGCTATCTGAGCTGTTATCATCTGATCACAGCATCACCAAGTGGCAACCCAAGACTCAGAAAGTCTCATTTCCCCTCTGTGTTCAGAGAGCTAAGTTATTCTGTGTGTAGGTATAAAAATACCTTACAACAGCATGAACTGTTCCCTTTCCAATATAAGGCGAACTAAACTAATGCCTGATTTTGAGTGGTTTAAAACCAAGTCTGCCTGGTGAGACATGGAGAGTGGGTCTGTACCCTTTTAACATGGCATATGCTTGTTTAGCAGTGCAAACTCATCCAAACCTGTTCATAGAACATTTCGTTCAACACAGAAACCCATCGTTCCATCTGTCCTTTCATTAGGAACACTCAGATGATGCAGGATTCAGCTGGAGAGCCTCATAATCCCACAAACTTTAAAGCTACATTGAATTCAGCATGGAATTCAAACAGCTCTGC